TTTTTTGACGTTTAGCTGCAACCCGGCTTTTGCGCTTTCTTCTTTCGCCTTGATTAGAAGGCTCCTCAGCTCTATGTCTAATAGCTATTATCAAAACCTGAAAAACACAGTGGAAGAGACTTAAAAAGCCAAAAAGTTAAAAAATACATTACAATGCATATGTAAAACCACACACACACACATATATATACACAAACACACATATATACACATACTGTATACACAAATATATACAAAGACATATATTTATTTAAACCATTTCTACCCTGCCCTTCTCACCCCCTTGGGGGGACTCAGGACGGCTATCACTGGCAACAATTCATTGCCAACAGTATCAAAACAACAACATAAAACCGCAATATAAAATCCATTACGTAACAATTAAACAGTGATATTAATTAAAATTACATAGTCACATAGAACAAGTCACATAATCACGGGTCATAAAGACATTTCCAATTTTCAAACAATCCTATGGTCCGAGTTCAGTGCCTAAAGTGCTGCTGTGCCCACTAGCCAAAGGCCTGGCTCCAAAACCACGTCTTTAGTTTTTTCCTAAAAGTTATTTATTTATCGTATCATCAGTAACCATACCATTGTATTACAGTTCTAGCAGAGCAAAGCAAACACACAGATTAAAAAGAAAAAGAAAAAAACACAGAGATTTTGCAAATTTGGTAGTTGATTAAATGTCCTTTGACCAGTATCTGGCCACTTGGAGTGCCTCTGGTGTTGCCGCAAGAAGGTCCTCCCTTGTGCATGTGGCAGGGCTCAGGTTGCATTGCAGCAGGTGGTCAGTGGTTGGCTCTTCTCCACACTCGCATGCCGAGGATTCCACCCTGTAGTCCCATTTCTGAAGGTTGGCTCTACATCTCGTGGGGCCAGAGCGCAGTCTGTTCAGCGCCTTCCAAGTCGCCCAGTCTTCTGTGTGCCCAGGGGGGAGTCTCTCATCTGGTATCACCCATGGATTGAGGTGCTGGGTTTGAGCCTGCCACTTTTGGACTCTCGCTTGCTGAGGTGTTCCAGCGAGCGTCTCTGTAAATCTAAGAAAACTATGTCTTGATTTAAGTCGTTGACGTGCTGGCTGATACCCAAACAGGGGATGAGCTGGAGATGTCTCTGCCTTGGTCCTTTCACTATTGGCTGCTACTTCCCGGCGGATGTCAGGTGGTGCAATACCGGCTAAGCAGTGTAATTTCTCCAGTGGTGTGGGGCGCAGACACCCTGTGATAATGCGGCATGTCTCATTAAGAGCCACATCTACTGTTGTGGTGAGATGTGTTCCACACTGGGCCTGCATACTCAGCAGCGGAGTAGCATAGCGCAAGGGCAGATGTCTTCACTGTGTCTGGTTGTGATCCCCAGGTTGTGCCAGTCAGCTTTCGTATGATGTTGTTTCTAGCGCCCACTTTTTGCTTGATGTTCAGGCAGTGCTTCCTAAAAGTAAGGAGGGAGGATGCCGATCTTATCTCGCTGGGAAGCGAATTCCATAAGAGGGGGATCACCACCGAGAAGGCCCTGTCCCTCGTCCCCACCAGACGCGTTTGAGACGCTGGTGGGACCGAGAGCAGGGCCTCCCCAGTAGATCTTAAATTACGAGGTGGAACGTAGAGAGAGATACGTTCAGATAAGTAAGCTGGGCCGGAGCCATATAAGGTTTTATAGGCCAAGATCAGCACTTTGAATTGTGCTCGGAGGTGGACCGGCAGCCAGTGGAGCTGACGCAGCAGGGGGGTGGTATGCTCCCTGTATGGCGCTCCGGTGAGTAATCTGGCTGCTGCCCATTGGACTAGTTGGAGTCTCCGAATAGTTTTCAAGGGCAACCCCATGTAGAGTGCGTTGCAGTAATCTATTCAGGATGTAACCAGAGCGTGGACCACCGTGGCCAAGCCAGACTTCCCAAGGTATGGGCACAACTGGCGCACAAGTTTTAACTGTGCAAAAGCTCCCCTGGCCACCGCCATATATACACACACAAAACACACATACCATAGATTGGGCCACAGCAATGCATGGCAGGGGACAGCTAGCATTTTAAATTAGTTTATTTATATTATGCAGCCTTTCTCCCAGAATGGGAGACTGTTTCCTTTAAGAAGGAAATGAGCTGCATCCCCATTAACCAATGCTGAAATGGGAATAGTTTCCCTGCCTAGCGTTGGCAACAGATGGTCCTGGACTTGGTGCAAGACTCATAATGAATCCTAGAGTTGGAAGGGACTTCAATGGCCATCCAATCCAACCCCCTTCTGCCAGGCAGGAAAACACAATCAAAGCCTTCCTGACAGATGGCCATCCAGCCTCTGCTTGAAGACCTCCCAGAAGGAGCGCATACTCATCCACCCACTCCTTACCTTTGCTTCCTGGATGGCCTCAGGAGGGAGCTGCATGCAAGGGAAGGCGTACATGGCTCCGTGGATGGGGTTGCAGTGGATCCCGGGGGCTTTGTTGAAGGTCTGCTCGGTCAGCCGGGCCTTTTTGGCCAAAGTGCTCAGCACCATCTGCTTCTCCTGCCAAGAGAGGGAAAGGGGTCAGAGTCGGACAGAAGGGAAGGAGACAAATTCAAGACCCTGGTGGGCATCTACACTGTGGCACCACTTTCACGGACAAGACTCCATGCTATAGACTCGTGAGAGTTGTAGTGTTATATTGCCTTCTCTGCCAAAGACTCCTGGTGCACCACCAAACTACAATTCCATAGCACTGAGCATCCTGAGAAAGGAGAGGAAGTAATTGCCACAAAACAGGAGCTTTTTTGTTGAGTTCCAGGGCCAAAGAAGCAGATGGCGGAAACAGAAGAACGGCCTGCTTTAGGGGAGCGTGCTTCCTCCATCCATGTTCAACATTTACACAATGATCAGCCACTGCCAGAAGGGACAGAGAGTTTCATCTATGCTGATGATCATGCCATCACCACTCAAGCAGGGAGCTTTGAAATGGTTGAACAGAAGCTATCCAAAGCTTTAGGTGCTCTTACTGCCTATTACAGGGAAAACCAGCTGATCCCTAACCCAGCTAAAATGCAGACATGTGCTTTTCACCTTAAGAAAAGACAAGTATCGCGAGCTCTGAGGATGACCTGGGAAGGAAGGAATCCCACTGGAGCATTGCAACACACCCAAATACCTGGGAGTCACTCTGGACCGTGCTCTGACCTACAAGAAGCACATCCTGAATACCAAGTAAAAAGTGGGTGCTAGAAACAATGTCATACGAAAGCTGACTGGCACAGCCTGGGTATCACAACCAGATACAGTGAAGACATCTGCCCTTGCGCTATGCTACTCTGCTGCTGAGTATGCATGCCCAGTGTGGAACACATCTCACCACGCTAAAACAGTGGATGTGGCTCATCATGAGACATGCTGCATTATCACGGGGTGTCTGCGCCCCACACCACTGGAGAAATTACACTGTCTAGCCGGTATTGCACCACCTGACATCCGCCGAGAAGTAGCAGCCAATAGTGAAAGGACCAAGGCAGAGACATCTCCAGCTCTTCCCTTGTTTGGGTATCAGCCAGCACATCAATTATTTAAATCAAGAAATAGTTTTCTAAGATCTAGAGAGACACTTGCTGGAACACCTCAGCAAGCGGGAGTCCAAAAGTGGCAGGCTCAAACCCAGAACCTCAAAACAAATGAAGGAATCCCCCCTGGGCACTTAGAAGACTGGGTGACTTGGAAGGCGGTGTGCAGACTGCGCTCTGGCACCACGAGATGCAGAGCCAACCTTCAGAAATGGGGCCACAAAGTGGAATCCACAACATGCGAGTGTAGAGAAGAGAAAACCACTGACCACCTGCTGCAACGCACCCTGAGCCCTGCGACATGCACCATGGAGGACCTTCTTACAGTGACACCAGAGACACTCCAAGTGGCCAGATACTGGTCCAAGGACATTTAATAGAATACCAAGTCTGCAAACTTTGTGTTTTGTTTGTTTTTAATGCAATACAACTGTTTTGGCTCGCTCCTGATACGATAAATAAATAAATGGCTCTCTGAAAAATATAGAAAAGCATGACTTGCAAGTAGTGCTCTTTCTTAAAATCTTTTCAATTTATGAGTAAACCAGTTTTTTACCTGTAAAAATTGGGAGGGGGGGTTGAATTTCTAACACCCCCTTTGTCTACAGCCCTGCTTGAAGGTAGTGTGTGCTGCAGCCTCTTGGTATAGAAGCCCATGAGGAGATTTTTGTTATTTCAATAATGCACTCATATTCCTCAGGGATTGGGGCGACCAATATTGTCTTGTCATGTAACATATCTGAGAATTTAAACCAATCTATCTTTCTGAAGTTGAATCTTCATTTATAATAATAATCCAAAAGCCATTCCAAAATCAACAGAATAGGTAATCACCAAGGTACCATATTTTCGGGCGTATAAGACGGACAACTTTCTAACCCTAGAAAATCTTATGGAAAGTCGGGGGTGGTCTTATACGTCTGGTATAAAAATGGGAGGCATAAAAGAAGCCTCAGTAGAGACGTCCAAGGCAAACCGCCACCCAGGGCTGCTGGGAGTCGTAGTCCAGATGCGCCTCCTTGGGCCTAGGTGTGCCCAGTGGCCTTTGGAGATCGGGTGGCCTTGCTTCCTTCCTCTCTCTCCTAGATGTCTGCAAATAACAATGTGGGAGGATTTGGAGGGCCTTGAAAGTAGAGCGGGGAGGGCGGCGTTGGGGACAAGTCCCTTAGTGGCGTGACCTGAGGAGGACATGCCCGCTGAGGCATTCTGGGTGTTGTAGTTACCAAATCAATAGAATTGTGTTGGAAGAGGGGTCTTATATGACGAGTATATCCCTAACTCTATATTTTAACTTGAAAATTTAGGGGTCGTCTTATACGCCCAGTCGTCTTGTATGCCAGAAAATACTGTCAGAGTATTGACGTTTGCCAGCGAAGGATTGCTAGATCAGCAGACACTGTGTTTTCAGAAATCAGGACTCTGCAGACTTTTAGTTACAACAGAACACTAAGTTTACTAAGTACATCTATACACGTCTATTCACAGCAAGCATCAGACCGGAACTACAAAGCACAAACAACAGTTTCTGAACATCTGCTTATCTGACTTCTTGGCTGAGACCAGATCCTCCCACTTCTTCCCAGCAAGGGGAACACTTTATCTCATTTCTGTCAAGGTTACTTTTCCTCTGCCTCTCACAGTATTTCTAATACACAATTGAGCAGAATAGAATCCATTTTGAAATACATCTTAATCCATCTTGAATTACATAGAAACACATTGAAAAACACACATGCATAACTAAATAATCCTGACAAATACGGTGCATTCAAAATCCAGACTTTAAAAGCATTTTCAAAGTAAAATCCATAAACTTGATATTCTTGAGCATAACAACTAACATTGACCAACTCTGAACATAAATCCTAAAATCCCAAAACGCAAAACAAGAAACTGCATTTCAAGTGTTTCAAAACTTAAACCAAGAGCTATAATCTAAAGTCTTGGAACACTGAACAAAGAACTATAATCCAAAGGATTGAAAACTTGAACCAAGAACCGTAATCCAATAGAGATTAAGGAGCTGGGCATGTTTAGCCTGAAGAAGAGAAAGCTGAGAGGAGACATGATAGCCATGTATAAATATGTGAGAGGAAGCCATAGGGAGGAGGGAGCAGGCTTGGTTTCTGCTTCCCTGGAGACTAGGACACGGAACAATGACTTCAAACTACAAGAGAGGAGATTCCATCTGAACATGAGGAAGAACTTCCTGACTGTGAGAGCCGTTCAGCAGTGGAACTCTCTGCCCCAGAGTGTGGTGGACGCTCCTTCTTTGGAAGCTTTTAAACAGAGGCTGGATGGCCATCTGTCAGGGGTGATTTGAATGCAATATTCCTGCTTCTTGCAGGTGGTTGGACTGGATGGCACAGGAGGTCTCTTCCAACTCTTTGATTCTATGATTCTATGAGAGTCACTGATCTTAACCAGGAAAACAAGGCACCGAATCAACAGCAAGAACTTTTAACCCAGAACTCCCAAAAGATGTGACTTGACATGTGAAAATCCAACGTTGATCTCACAACGAACATTGTTGCATATCGCTCAAGAATTCTAATTCTTACCCCTGACATAATTCTTTCTCACACCTGGGTTCCTTTTGCTTATTTTTCAGCCTCTGGGAAAAACTGAGTTGTCTCTGCTTCATGCTATCTCTTTGGAACTGTAATCGTTGAGTTATAAGCCAAGTCACAGTCTCCTCCACATTCCTTTCAGAGTCAATCCCTGGCAGATTCTCATGAGAACCTGTGACGATGTGTAATTTTATTCCTTTGGTTATATGTTGTTTAAACAGTAGTTAATAAATGGTAAGTATGTAGGGTTGTGTTTTGTTAGAGATCGTGGCAGGTTTGGCTTGGGCTGAGTTGCCATAGCAAGAGGGGTGGAGCCAACTGCCAACTGCTCTTCACGGGGCAGCTGTTTGAAAGTGGCAGTCTGTAAGCCGGTGAGCTGCAGGGAAGACTGAATCTCTAGGTGGGGATTCAGGAAACTAGTCTGTGACCAAGGAGTTACAGGAGAAGGTAGTTGATCCTGTTGTGTGTGGAAAACCATCAGGAATACTATAGTTAGAGAACTATAGGGAGGACTGGTTCTTTAATATTAAGAATCAGGGTTTGGCTGTGAGCCAATATAGTTAGATAAGTCAGGTGGCTTATTTGTGGTAAAAGAACGCTTGTTGAAGAAAGATATATCTACTCAAAGAAATCTCTTAAAGTCTGTACCTAAAGTTACTCATGAAACCTTACTAATGTAACCTATCAAGATTTGTGCCTCTTGTGAAGAAACAATTGAATCTGTTATACCTTGCTTGTTCCAATAAAATTGTTACTGTTCTCCTCAAGCCTTGCCTGATACAGTTTCTCCTAAGTCAAACAGCCTGCATAAGTAGTAAAATCAAACCAGGGACAGTAAACGCTACGCTATCAAATAAATAAATACTTCTGTAATTAATAGTCCCTTATAAACCAACTCTTAAGCTGATACTGATCATTGCCCGGCTTTCCTCACAGATTTGGTGGCAGTAATTTTAACCACTTTCTGTTTCCATAACAGCATATCTACTTGTAGCATTCCCATCTTCCAAGGAAACTTCCTGAGACCCACAGAAGTAACAGGCTCAGAAGTAAAAACCTCAGGCCCCACCAAAAGGTCCCCCTCCCTGTCCTCATCCTCAGAGGCTTCACAGGCCTCAACAGGTTGACCTTGATATGGTCTCAAGAGTGCTAAGAACCCTTTCTGGACATCGGGAAGGGAAAATGATGGGTGATTGTTCCATCTCTATGTAAGATACTTCTGTCCAAAGAGCCTCCACACCCAGAGTTTCCTTTTGTGTTGCCTACCTGAATGAACTGTTGGTAAGAAGGGTCTCCTGGCTGGGGCTGGTTGACCACCAGGCCAAGCAGGATCTGCCCTATCACAGGAGGATACAGCGAGACCGAGGTCAGCTTGATCAGCTGCTGCTGGGCAGCGGGGTCCATGTTGACAATCTCCATGTAACCTCCGCGGAAGCCGCACCTACAAACATAAGGGAACCAATGCAGCTGATCTTGAGAAGTGACACTCTCCCAGTCATCGAGGAAGGCAATGGCAACCCTCCTCTGAATAAATCTTGCCAAGAAAACCATGAGAAAGTGTCACCATTAGGACAGAGAGTTTTCATGTAAAAAAGGCAGGTATGTTTTGCCTCAAATATGTGCCTTAAATCAGGGACTTAAACCTTGCTCTCTCAGAATCCAAGGAAAACAAAGATCAAGCCTAGGAGTTTCCTTGCCTTGGAGAAAAAGAAAAGGACCAGGGACAAATTAGGTTGGCATTTTAATGCAGCAAGACTCCTGTATCCTTAGATGATAGGTTGTCATCCTGACTGCAGGTACCTGAAACCACAGATACCCTTAGTGAAATGTGTGTTGTATTACAGGGTGGGAAGCCTGTAAGCTATCTTTGCATTTCGTTTTTCCTGCCAAAGTGGAGTATCTTGCATTTGTCACTGTTAAACTTCATTATGATGGGCCAAAACGAAGCTGGTGGGACCGAGAGTAGGGCCTCCCAGCAGATACTCCACTTTGCAGGAAAAACGAAATGCAAAGATATAGAATGGGGGACGATGCCTGGCTCGAGAGCAGTACGTGTGAAAAAGATCTTGGAGTCCTCGTGGACAACAAGTTAAACATGAGCCAACAATGTGATGTGGCAGCAAAAAAAGCCAATGGGATTTTGGCCTGCATCAATAGGAGCATAGTGTCTAGATCTAGGGAAGTCATGCTACCCCTCTATTCCGCTTTGGTTAGACCACACTTGGAATATTGTGTCCAATTCTGGGCACCACAATTCAAGAGAGATATTGACAAGCTGGAATGTGTCCAGAGGAGAGCGACTAAAATGATAAAAGGTCTGGAGAACAAGCCCTATGAGGAGCGGCTTAAGGAGCTGGGCATGTTTAGCCTGAAGAAGAGAAGGCTGAGAGGGGATATGATAGCCATGTATAAATACGTGAGAGGAATCCACAGGGAGGAGGGAGCAAGCTTGTTTTCTGCTTCCCTGGAGACTAGGACGCAATGGAACAATGGCTTCAAACTACAAGAGAGGAGATTCCATCTGAACATGAGGAAGAACTTCCTGACTGTGAGAGCCGTTCAGCAGTGGAACTCTCTGCCCCGGAGTGTGGTGGAGGCTCCTTCTTTGGAAGCTTTTAAACAGAGGCTGGGTGGCCATCTGTCAGGGGTGATTTGAATGCAATATTCCTGCTTCTTGGCAGAATGGGGTTGGACTGGATGGCTCATGAGGTCTCTTCCAACTCTTTGATTCTATGATTCTATGAGTCTGTACTTAACTACGACACTTCGGCCCAATGTAATAACAACAACAACAACAAGAATAAGAATAAGAATAATCTTTATTTATACCATGCTATCATCTGCCCAAAGGGGACTGGAGGAAGCTAACATGGGGCCAAACCCAAAAATAATACAGCAAAGTTCATAGAATCATAGAATCATAGAATCAAAGAGTTGGAAGAGACCTCATGGGCCATCCAGTCCAACCCCATTCTGCCAAGAAGCAGGAATATTGCATTCAAATCACCCCTGACAGATGGCCATCCAGCCTCTGTTTAAAAGCTTCCAAAGAAGGAGCCTCCACCACACTCCGGGGCAGAGAGTTCCACTGCTGAACGGCTCTCACAGTCAGGAAGTTCTTCCTAATGTTCAGATGGAATCTCCTCTCTTGTAGTTTGAAGCCATTGTTCCGCGTCCTAGTCTCCAAGGAAGCAGAAAACAAGCTTGCTCCCTCCTCCTCCCTGTGGCTTCCTCTCACATATTTCTTATACATGGCTCTTATCATATCTCAGCCTTCTCTTCTTCAGGCTAAACATGCCCAGCTCCCCAAGCCGCTCCTCATAGGGCTTGTTCTCCAGACCCTTGATCATTTTAGTCACCCTCCTCTGGACACATTCCAGCTTGTCAATATCTCTCTTGAATTGTGGTGCCCAGAATTGGACACAATATTCCAGATGTGGTCTAACCAGAGCAGAATAGAGGGTTAGCATGACTTCCCTAGATCTAGACTCTTTGCTCCTCTTGATGCAGGCCAAAATCCCATTGGCTTTTTTTGCCGCCACATCACATTGTTGGCTCATGTTTAACTTGTTGTCCACGAGGACTCCAAGATCTTTTTCACACGTACTGCTCTCGAGCCAGGCGTCACCCATTCTGTATCTTTGCATTTCATTTTTTCTGCCAAAGTGGAGTATCTTGCATTTGTCACAAGTTATTGAAGAATATATAAAAAGCAGTTCAACAAATATAGTAAAAACATCAAGTCTAAATGTAAGAAATAGTCCACAAAATCCATGGTACAGGAGTTGTATCAAAAACTAGAAATATATAACGGGCAGCACATGGCTCAGAGGCTCATTGTGAGCCCGGGAAGGGAAGGGAAAAGAGAAAGGGAAGGGAGGTTGTGAAGGGAGGTTGGAAGAAGAGCGGTTGGAAGAGCAGGATAAGCGGAGAAGGGATGGTAGCAGAGCTGTTGCCTGCCTGCCTGCCTTGCAGCTGCTTGTGTGTTGGGTTGTTGTAGGATTTTTCGGGCTATATGGCCATGGTCTAGAGGCATTCTCTCCTGACGTTTCGCCTGCATCTATGCAAGCATCCTCAGAGGTAGTGAGGATGCTTGCCATAGATGCAGGCGAAACGTCAGGAGAGAATGCCTCTAGACCATGGCCATATAGCCCGAAAAAACCTACAACAATTTATTTATTTATTTATTTGGAGTGCTTCTACCCCACCCTTCTCAACCCCCTAGGGGGGGACTCAGGGCGGCTTACAAAAGGCACAATTCGATGCCTAACAATTCACAAAATACAATATGCAATTTACAATATAACGACGACAGTTATAACTAATTAAAACAGTCAAATTAAAACAACAGCAGCAATAAAATCATCTTGTGGTCAACGTTCGTCAATTCATAAATCCATAGTCCATCCAGCATTGTCATTGTCCTTTCCTACTCTGGTTGTCATTGTCTTTTATTCATCTGCCAGCTTACCCAAAGGCCTGGTCCCATATCCAGGTCTTTAGCTTCCTTCTGAAAGAGAGGAGGGATATTGATGACCTAATTTCCCCGAGGAGCGCATTCCACAGGCGTGGGGCCACCACTGAGAAGGCCCTGTCCCTTGTCCCCACCAGTCTCACTTGTGATAAAGGCTGGGCCGAGAGCAGGGCCTCCCCCAAAGATCTTAAACTCCGAGATGGGACATAGAAGGAGATACGTTCGGACAGGTACGCTGGACCGGAGCCATATAGGGTTTTGTAGGTCAAAACCAGCACTTTGAATTGTGCTCAGAACTGGATCGGCAGCCAGTAGAGCTGATGTAACAGGGCGGTGGTGTGCTCCCTGTATGATGATCCGGTAAGTAATCTAGCCGCTGCACATTGGACTAATTGAAGTTTCCGAACAGTCTTCAAAGGCAACCCCACATAGAGTGCGTTGCAGTAATCTAATCGGGATGTAACAAGAACGTGGACCACCGTGGCCAGATCAGGCTTCCCAAGGTATGGGCGCAGCTGGCACATGAGTTTTAATTGTGCAAGAGCTCCCCTGACCACCGCCGAGACCTGGGGTTCCAGGCTTAGCGATGAGTCCAGGATCACTCCCAAGCTGCTTCAGGGGGAGTGTAACTCCATCTAACACAGGCTGTAACCCTATGTCCTGTTCAGTCAGCCCAGTTATTCCGGCCATGAAAGCCAACAATGCTTGTGCGTTGTTGCTGTTGGGGGGGAAGAAGAGCAGGGCAGCATAGGACCAAGGCAGGGAGAAGGGCTGTTGCGCAATCATGTCTGCCATTAACGAAGCAATTCGGAAATTTTGGAAAGTTCCGATTTTGTTTTGGAAAAATTTGGAATTCTTTTCCGAATTGAACCACCAGTGCCCCTTACATCCGAAATGAGTTTTGAATTCTTTTGTTTTTATCAACCAAGCCTACTGGCTATGCACTTAACCAAAAACATGTTTTGCTGATGGCATTTTAAGAGTTGATACAACACTAGGTAAAATGCATTGCAAAGGAAGGTGACTATGTAGAAAAGTGATGCAATTTGTTTTTAAAAGTGTGGAAACTTTTTGAAGACCCCCCACATTTTGTGAAACCACAGGTAAGACTTAATGCCATTCCCCAAAGTGGAATGTGCTCTGCTACCAGTGTTTAAATGTGAATGCAACCCATGGAGGGAAGGAATGGAATGAGAAAGAGAGGAGAGAGATGTCACTTACTCTCCCATGAAGCCCTTGGAAATGGAGTGGAAGGAGGCCAGCTCCAGGCTGTCGGAATACTTGGGCCCCATCTCAAAGAGCACCTTCTTGAAGGAGTGGAACTGGGAGCCCTCGGCGTAGACGTTGTCCTGGTAAACCTGGATGGAAGAGACACAGGTTGGCATTCAGGCATGCAGGACAGAAGTGTGCGAAGCGGCTGAAATACGGTTAGTAATTTGTTTTGGAAGTTCAGGTGGCCCCTGCTTTGATTAGGAAAGATTCAGAGGGGTCCCATTCCGATTTGTACTCTGAATCTCCAAAGCTTCGTAATTGCTTTGTTAAGATTAGTTCCATTTGCAGCAATGAGAAAATTGTGTGGTTTGTTTCTCCCTCACTTTTACAACTATCCAAGTGAAGTCAGACAAAAATGTGCTGTGAATTCAGAACCAAATTGACACGTGTGCTTCCAGCATCTGAATTGTCCCTTTTTGTAATAGCGATGACTTGCAAAAAGCATTTTTCTGATAAGGAAAATGAAAGAACATGGGAGGGGAAAGACAGAATTTTCAAAAAAAGACACAGGTGCTTTTGTAAATGTAAAGCTATTATTATCCAAAACAAATAGCATGCTCTGAAAATTCCCAATGGATTTTAGATGGCATTGTTATGGGGTAAGAGAAATCCAAGGTAAGCCAATCCAATACCACCTAGACTATCTAAGTCAATATATTTGACATAGTGAATGTCAAAGTCACAGAACTAAGCCTCATTGAAGATCTTGGTGCAAGTAACTCATATCAAATACCAGAAGCTTTTCGGTTTTGACATCACATGGGCATTAATGGGAGGCAATAGAGTAATCTACATATTTGAAATGCAACTCACATAGCTTTTATGCAGTGGGGGAGCTGAGATGCCAAAATTCAGTTTTCATTCTGATTGAGTTAAATGGGATTTAAGTTGCCTAACTGTGTACTGGATTGTAGCCCACAACTGGTGCTGGTATAGGAGAAATGAAGCTACTTGTGATGTTTTTGTTTCATCAAAATCATGAAACTCTTCAAAACTACCAAAGAAACACCAAGTAACGAGAATGCAGCTAACATGCCTTTCATCAGCTGAAAATCTTTAATTGTAATTGCAGTATGTAATGGTATAATTAGTTGTCTAAGTGACAGGATGGGTTATCAAGACGAAATTTGGCAGACTTGTAGGCAACCTTTACAACTTTAAGCCTGCCAAGTTTCAGAACATTTCGGTCATCCACTGAGTTTGAGGAAATGTTTAAAGTATTTCCAATTTTATTTTAAAGGAACTCCAAAAGGTATCGCCTTGAATTTCTGCACAATGGGACAACACAAGCAGGGCATCAATTCTGCAAAGTTTCAGAAAGATTCGTTTGTCTACCAATTCATTCATATTCTGGCAAAGTGGATAGTTTTAACAATTTTATTTTAAAGAAACTCCAAAAGGTATTGCCTTGAATTTCTGCACCATGAGACAACACAAGCAGGGCATCAATCCTGCAAAGTTTCAGAAAGATTCATTCATCTGCCAATCCACTCAATTCGTGGCATAGTGGGACAACATGAGCAATACAATAAGCCTGCCAAGTTTCAGAACAACCAGTCTATCCACTGATTTTAAAGATTTATTTCGATTTAAGCACATGTGATTAACCTACACTGGGGCTCTAATGCTGGCAGCTCTGTTCTTCTGGCACGAACAGAATTCTCAGAAATGTAGTTTAGGGCGGGGCCTTTTGAATACTCTGCTACAGAGGTCCTCACCTTCCCAAACTACATTTCCCAGAATTCTGCTCATGCCAGAAGAAGGGGGATTATCACATTGGGGGTTTAGTATAGGAAAGCCCCATTTTTCTGATGTCAGCAGAATTCTGGGAAATGTAGTTTAGGGCAGGGCCTTTTGAATACTCTGCTACAGTGGTCCTCACCTTCCCAAACTACATTTCCCAGAATTCTGCTTGTGCCAGAAGAAAGGGGATTATCACATTGGGGGTTTAGTATAGGAAATCCCCGTTCTTCTGATGTGAGCAGAATTCTGGGAAATGTAGTCCAGGGCAGGGCCTTTTGAACACTCTGCTACAAAGGTCCTCACCTTCCCAAACTACATTTCCCAGAATTCTGCTCGTGCCAGAAGAAGGGGGATTATCACATTGGGGGTTTAGTATAGGAAAGCCCCGTTTTTCTGATGTATGCGGAATTCTGGGAAATGTAGTTCAGGGCAGGGCCTTTTGAACGCTCTGCTACAGAGGACCTCACCTTCCCAAACTTCATTTACCAGAATTCTGCTTGCGCCAGAAGAACAGAGCAACCATTTGTTTGAAGGAAGGGGAATTGTTCACATGTAAGAATCCAACTGGACCTACAGCTGCTTCCTCATTTTCTGTGTTGGATGGGAGCAATGGGAGTTGAAATCCCCAAGCAACCCAAACCCTAACCCCCAAGCAACAATTTAGGGAAGCCACATGAATGAGGAGGAAGGCCTCGGTCATGTTTTTATGGATACCTTTGGGTGACGAAATGGGAGAATGGGAAACAAGGCAGTTTGAATCCGGGGAGCAGGGTGAGCCCCCATCTGTCAGCTCCAGCTCCCCATGCAGGGACATGAGAAAGCCTCCCGCAAGTTGGTAAAAACATCAAAACATCTGGGCATCGCATTGGGCAACGTCCTTGAAGACAGCCAATTCTCTCTCCAACATCAGAAGCGACTTGCAGTTTCTCAAGTCACTCCTGACATGAAAAAAAGGGCAAAATGGAAGAATGGAGAGCGGATTTTGAGGAATGTGGACCCCAAGGCACACCTCATCAGCTAGGAGGAAGAGGTGCTCCTCCCATGCGAAGCGGATGACATCTTCAATGCACTTCCGGCTTTGGACACTTCCTGTAGAAGGAGAGAGAAGAGAGGAGGAGGATCGTTGTCATGCTTTCTCCAAAAATATTGGGACCTGGAAGCTGAAGGCTTGTTTGCACAGCCCATGATCCAGGAATGGCAACTCCTACAACCCACCAAGTCCATTCCAGATCTTATTCCAGACCCCAAAGAAGCATTCCAAGGTGCAGAAACACATCTCACAGCCTTTGGTGGAAGTGCACTTGAGACCTCTGGCAGAAGTTGACCCTACAATCCCATTGGGAGATCTAGGGATTTCAAGGGAGGACAACCCTCTAAGCATTTGTAGGTCCTCTAGCATGATTGTGTGGTCAGTTTCTGGTGGGCTAGTCACAGATCTGATTAATATGTTAACTCTGGGAATATTACTTCCTCCAAAGTGATGTTATGAATCATGGAGTCACGCTGAACGACCCAGAGATCCCAGGTGTTCTCTTGTAAGGGGCTCTGTTTTGTAGGAAATATTTAATCCCTTACCTAGAAAAAAGCCAATTGGATTTTGGCCTGCATCAATAGGAGCCTAGTGTCTAGATCTAGGGAAGTCCTGCTCCCCATGCTCTATTCCGATTTGGTTAGACCACACCTGGAATATTGTGTCCAATTCTGGGCACCACAATTCAAGAGAGATATTGACTCTAAGATGGAATGTGTCCAGAGAAGGGCAACTAAAATGATCAAGGGTCTGGAGAATAAGCCCCATGAGGAGTGGCTTAAAGAACTGGGCATGTTTAGCCTGAAGAAGAGAAGCTGAGAGGAGATATGATAGCCATGTATAAATATGTGAGAGGAAACTACAGGGAGGAGGGAGCAAGCTTGTTTACTGCTTCCATGGAGACTAGGACGCGGAACAATGGCTTCAAGCTACAAGAAAGGAGATTCCATCTAAATATGAGGAAGAACTTCCTGACTACGAGAGTCGTTCAGCAGTGGAACTCTCTGCCCTGGAGTGTGGTGGAGGCTCCTTCTTTGGAAGCTTTTAAGCAGAGGCTGGATGGCCATCTGTCAGGGATGATTTGGATGCAATATTCCTGCTTCTTGGTAGAATGGAGTTGGACTGGATGGCCCACCAGGTCTCTTCCAACTCTTTGATTCTATTGTTCTAGATTACTTCTGACTCAAAATCTTGTTTTCCATTAAATTGTTGACAGGACATGTTCTGCCTGACATTTGCTCTTTGCTCACAAGATAAGGTTGTGTGATAATGTAATAATGACAGTAATAATAATAATTTGGCCTGCTGGATAGTGTGTTGGGTTGAACTATGAACTTGTCACCTGAGGATAGTGCAAAACAAAAGGACAGAATACTACTGGAACATGGTCATACAGCTCAAAAAAGCACAACAACCCAGTTCTCAAACTAGTTTGGACACTTGGCACTTTGGATAGCGCTATGAGAAGTTGGGACTAAAGACGGGAGTAGAAACTCAGAACAACCCAACAATGATGATGACAGTAAGCATAATAAACAATAATAATCTTCTAGATAGAGACCCAAAACAGCTATTGCAGCCACTCCAGGTCTAAGCATGAGTGCCATGGTTCTGTCCAAGGTCCTCAAACTAGTTTGGACACTTGGCACTTTGGATAGTGCTATGAGAAGTTGGGACCAAAGACGGGAGTGGAAACTCACCACAACCCAACAATGATGGTGATAGTAAGCATAATAAACAATAATAATCTTCTAGATAGAGACCCAAAACAGCTATTGCAGCCACCCCAGGTCTAAGCCATGAGTGCCATGGTTCTGTCCAAGGTTCTCATACTAGTTTGGACACTAGTATGAGAAGTTGGGACTCAAGATGGGAGTGGAAACTCACAACAACCCAACAATGATGATGATAGTAAACATAATAAACAATAATAATCTTCTAGAGATCCAAAACAGCTATTTCAGCCACTCCAGGTCTAAGCCATGAATGCAATGGTTCTGTCCAAGGTTCTCATACTAGTTTGGACACTAGTATGAGAAGTTGGGACTAAAGACGGGAGTGGAAACTCACAACAACCCAACAATGATGATGATAGTAAGCATAATAAACAATAATAATCTTCTAGACAGAGACCCAAAATAGCTATTGCAGCCACTCCAGGTCTAAGCCATGAGTGCCATGGTTCTGTCCAAGGTTCTCATACTAGTTTGGACTCTTGGCGCTTTGGATAGCGCTATGAGAAGTTGGGACTAAAGACAAGAGTAGACTCCTTGAGTCCCAGTCTCTAGCCCACACACAAAAGGCTCTTGTCTCCCATGCTTCCCGGTGACCTTGCTCCTGGAACACCAACCGGTGGGGTTCCCGGGGTTGATGATGCAGAGGACCTTTGGGCGGCAATGCTCCTGGGCCTGGCGCAGGGCCCTCCGCAGCTCCCCAATGTCCAAGTCCCAGCTCTTCTCCTCATCCAAGTAGTAGTTGACCTGCACGGCATTGAGCTTCGCCAAAGCGGCCGAGTAGAGCGGGTATTCTGGGATGGGGATCAGGACCCCCATGCGTGAGCGGCCCTCTCCAGAGACCAGCATCTTCAGGACCGTCTGGAAAGAGACAAGTGGATGGAAACGTGGAGGGCCAAGATTGGCAGCAGCATCATCCCTTCTGGCCCCATTCCTGGCCTCTCCCAGATCTTTTCATGAGAGTCAGGAAAATGCACATCTGCGAGGTTGGCTCATTTGAGGCAACTCCATCCTCCGTCACAAGATTGGGTGGACAAACCAGGAGAGCATCCCCACTATAGAACAGGCATGGTCCAACTTGGGCCCTCCAGGACTTCAACACCCACAATTCCTAACAGCCAGTAAGAGTTGAAGTCCAAAACACCTGAAGGGCCAAAGTTGGACCAAGCCTGTTCCATAGAATGAATGCAGTCTGATGCCACTGGTGCGATGTTTTGAAATCCTGGGAGTTGTAGTTTTACTTGGTCTTTGACCTTCTCTGCCCAAGAGGGCATCTACACTGTAGACATAACAGAGTTTGGCACCTCATGAACTACCCAAGCTCAATGCTGCACAATCCTGGGAATTGAGGTTTAGACAGGTCTTTAGACATTTCAGTAAATGCGGCATCCTAAGGGTTCAATGCAACTAAAAATATGGAAGTCAAACAATAGAGACTGTAGTTTCAGCACCGCAAGGAGGATATTTGGATGCATCTCTACACTGTAGAAGGAATGCAGTTTGATACCACTTTTACTGCCATGGCTCAATGTGGTGGAATCCTATAGTTTGCACTTTTTGACAGAGAAACCAAAATCCCATATAAAAGTACAACTCCCAGGATCCCACAGCATGGAGCCATGGCAGTGAAAGTGGTATTGAACTGCAATTGTTCTACAGTGTAGCTGCATCTTGTAAGGTTTTGGAATGCAAGTGAGGATGAGTGGCACGCAAAGGATGCTGCCAAATGCTTCTTCTCCATCTTCACAATCTGAGCTCAAAATGCAGCTCTGGTTCTCTTTGCATCAAGACATTTAACCTGTAATGACTTCCTCCAGTTTTGTCTTCTCCCTTTGCCTCTCTTTTCCAAATGCATAACACAACCAGCTGCTTCTCCAGGCCCCTGACCTGCCCCACATGGAAAGGGGGAGTGGGGCCTGTCTGTTAACGGACCCTCCCCAATTCCCTCCACCCTCTGGCTTCCACCAGGAATGGACGCTGCCAAGGACACTGACAAAGAGGGCTTTGTGATGCCATCCAAATTCCCAGGACTGGGTCTTTGGCAGGACACCAGACAGGGGCGGCTCGTCCATTACGCAAAGTAAGCAGTCGCAGAACACTTTTTTTTTGCCAGGGGCGCAGAGGCACCTCTGTAAATGCCCCTCGACCGCCACTTGAGGAGCGCCCCCTCAGCTCACAACAGCCCTAGCAGTCTGGGGGGAGCCTTGGTTTCCTTGCCTTGCTGCCAGGTGATCCTCTTCCCAAAGGGGCTGGGCCCTTGAGCCTCACCTAGCCCTTGACATATGTGAGTTGTAGTTACTGGGATGTATAGTTCACCTACAATCAAAGAGCATTCTGAACTCCACCAGTGATGGAATTGAACCAAATATGGTACACAGAACTCCCATGACGAACAGAAAATATATATCAATGATTGTTTGGGGGGGGGGGGCACCAAAATACTGTTTGCTTACCGTTGAAAATTATCTGGGGCCGCCTCTGACACCAGAGCGGTGAAAATGGGGCTCGGATAGCGCTGAGCCATCCAAAATCCTCATCCACTTGATGCCTCCTCTCAGGGCACAACTCTGTTGCTTCACCCTGAGCTTCACTGATGTTCCTCAAGAAGTGTTTATGGCATGGAACAACCCTTCTCCAGTGGGTAATACATTCATATTACTGTTGTTGTTGCTGTTGTTGTTGAGGTAGCCTTTGATATTGCTATAAGGCTACATGCCCAAGGTAATAGAATGGGCCAAACAGTGGCACAGAATTGGCACTCGCCATTGTTGTTGTTGTTGTTGTTACATTGATGATTTATTCCCTGCTTTTATCTCAGGCACTGAGACCCAAATCGACCCCTCTCACAGGGATACTGCCACACAATTGAATTAACTCCATCAAAAGTCACAATTGCTGCCCTGAGTTTGCAAGACAGAGCTTAATAAGTCAGACTCCTTTGGTGATGAAAAAGGTCTTAATAAATGTGCCATATCAGTCATTTTTCTTGGGTTTTTTTTAATGGCTATGTCATACATTGCTTGCAAACTGAGGGTAGCAACTATGAGTCTTGCAAACACAGGGCCTCAAGGATGCCTTAGAATCATAGAATCCAGCCCAACCCCATTCTGCCAAGGGAGCAGGAGTATTGCATTCAAATCACCCCTGACAGATGGCCATCCAACCTCTGTTTAAAAGCTTCCAAAGAAGGAGCCTCCACCACACTCCGGGGAAGAGAGTTCCACTGCTGAACAGCTCTCACAGTCAGGAAGTTCTTCCTTATGTTCAGATGGAATCTCCTCTCTTGTAGTTTGAAGCATTGTTCCGCGTCCTAGTCTCCAGGGAAGCAGAAAACAAGCTCCTCCCTGTGACTTCCTCTCACATATTTATACATGGCTATCATATCTCCTCTCAGCCTTCTTTTCATCAGGCTAAACATGCCCAGCTCCTTAAGCCGCTCCTCATAGGGCTTGTTCTCCAGACCCTTGATCATTTGAGTCGCCCTCCTCTGGACACATTCCAGCTTGCCAATACCTCTCTTGAATTGTGGGGCCCAGAACTGGATACAATATTCCAGATGTGGTCTAATCAAAGTAGAATAGAGCATGGGGAGCATTACTTCCCTAGATCTAGACACTATGCTCCTCTTGATGCAGGCCAAAATCCCATTGGCTTTTTTTGCCACCACATCACATTCCTGGCTCATGTTTAACTTGTTGTCCACGAGGACTCCAAGATCTTTTTCGCACGTACTGCTCTCGAGCCAGGCCTCATCGTCCCCCATTCTGTCTCTTTGCATTTCCTTTTTTCTGCCTAAGTGGAGTATCTTGCATTTGTCAATGTTGAACTTCATTTTGTTAGTTTTGGCCCATCTCTCTAATCTGTCTATGTTATACATTGCTTGCAAACTGAGGGTAGCAACTATGAGTCTTGAAAACTCAGGGCCTCAACGATGCCTTCCCACCCATACATAGCTTCCTAATCCCATATGATCTCCTGAAGGCTTTGCCTCATTTGCTCCCATATGGCTCCCATTGTGTTTCTCCTCCAAGAAAGTCTGCTGCAATATGTCCAAGACAAGCTCTTTCACCTTAATATGTTGGTGTGTGGAGCCATGACCTCAAGGCGATGGACTTTCTTCTCTTCCTAGAGTGCCAACAACTTGCACTTGCTGAAAGTACAGCTACTGACATCCTCCAGAAAGGGCACATACATACCACAGCCAATACAGGTGACTACATGGGAGCACCCTGCAAACCATCCGCCTTAACCCAATGAACACAAAGTCACTCACAAATCATCAGCCTCAACCCTTCACTAGACTTCTCTTATGTGTTATTTCAATGTCCCACCAAACACCCATCACCAACACATTCTTTTTGGGGGGCTCTCCATACCACAATGGCATTGGTGGCACCGGTGGAAAGGAAGATGTTTTCTGGATTGGAGGAAATGCCCCCGTCGCGGCGTTCGATGAAGCGGGCCACGTCTTGGCGGATGAGGTGAATACCCGAGCTGGTGCTGTAGGCCCCTGGGACAGGGAAGAGAGAAAAACCTTGAGGATGCAGCACATGTTTCGGGGGGGGGGGATCCCCTTTCTTCCAATTTGAACTCATATCTCCATTGCATCATGCAGCGTTATCACACTGGGGTTGTAACACGGGCAGCCTCATTCTTCTGGCACAAGCAGAATTTTGGGAAATATAGTTTGGGAAGGTAAGGACCTATGTAGAAGAATATTCAAAAGCCCCTGCCCAAAACTACATTTCTGCTCGTGTATTCTGCTTGTGCCAGAAGAATGGGGCTCATCATAATGCGGGTTTAGTATAGGAAAGCCCCATTCTTCTGACGTAAGCAGAATTCTAGGAAATGTAGTTTAGGGCAGGGGCTTTTGGATACTCTGCTACAGTAGTCCTCACCTTCCCAAACTACTTTTCCCAGAATTCTGCTCGTGCCAGAAGAATGGGGCTTATCATAATGGGGGATTAGTATAAAAAAGCCCCTTTATTCTGACGTGAGCAGAATTCCGGGAAATGTAGTTTAAGAAGGGAGGACCTCTGTAGAAGAGTATTCAAAAGGCCCTGCCTTAAACTACATTTCTCAGAATTCTGCTCACGTCAGAAGAACAGAGCTTTCCTACACTAGATCCCCAATGTGATAAGCCCCATTCTTCTGGCACAAGCAGAAGTCTGGAAAATGTATTTTGGGAAGGAGAGGACCTCTGCAGAAAAGTATTCAAAAGGTCCTGCTCTAAACCACATTTCCTAGAATTGTGCTCACGTCAGAAGAACAGGGTTTTCCTACACTTAACCTCCAATGTGATAAGCCCCATTCTTCTGGCACGAGCAGAAGTCTGGAAAATGTAGTTTGGGAAGGTAAGGCCCTCTGTAGAAGAGTATTCAAAAGGCCCTACCCTAAACTACATTTCCAGAACTCTGCTCACACCAGAAGAAAAGGGTTTTCCTGCATTAAACCCCCAATGTGATAAGGGGGTCAGTCTCTGGAACATTGGGAAACAAGCCTCCCCACTCCTCAATGAGTCAAAATGGCTCTCATGTCCCCTTCTCTTCACCTTCTTGGAGAACTAAGCACCCCAGCTCCCTCAGCAGCTCCTCACTAGGATTCATAGTTTCCAGCCCTTTGACCCTTTTGGTTGCCTTTCTCTGGACATCTTCCATTTTGAATAGTCATGCTCTGAAGTGGACACAGGGTTTCTCCAAGTGAAGTCTGACCAAAGCAGAAGATTGAGGGGCGATGACTTCGCTTGGTATGGACACTATGCTCCTAATGATGCAGCCTAGACTCACATTGACTTTTTCAGATGCCACATCCTACATCCAATGGGCTCATGTTCAACTTCAGGTCTACTAAGACTCCTTGGTAGGGAAGGAAGGCTCACCGATGCTGCCTCCGCCACATGCAGACAGCAACCTCCGCGCTTTCTCCTTGGCATCCTCTGGGAAGTTGGGGTCCTTCAAGAGCTCGGGGTACGTGCAAAGGGCACTGGCCTGCGAAGGGATTGCTCCGGTGAAAGGCCTACCTTCAACATCCCAGGCACCTCCTCCCTCTCTGCCTTCTTCACTCATTCCTTTCTCAGCCTTCTCATCCACACATTTGTTTCTCTTTGTAGTGAAGCAAGCGCACTCTGCGCATGGGCAAGCGGAGTTTTCCCTTCACTGCTTGGCTCATGAATGCTTTTATTTCAAAGGAACAGAAGTGGATTTGGGCGGGTGAAGATAAAGCACTCCATGGAGGGAATAGAGTAAGAACTATGGTGCACCCATGAAGATGCACCAGGGGTGTGGCACAGCTGGCTGGGAGACAACTGTATTAAGATCACTACTGAGCAAAAGGTCATGAGTTTGAAGCTGGCCCGAGTCAGAGTTAGTTTTTGACCAATTTGTGTAGCTTGCAGTTGACCTTTGCACCCGAAATACAGTTGCATCTGTCAGGTAGAAAATTTGGGTACCGCTTATGCGGGGAGGCTAATTTAACTAAATTTATGACGCCATAAAAATCTCCAGTAAACATGCAAAGAATGAGGACGTACTCCATCAGTGTCACAAATAGATGAAGCGACAGCTCCCCCGGTGACCAGAATACCCTCATGAAAAAGCTGGAATGTTAAATAGCCTCTGAGTGTCTGTCTATATATGTTGTGTGTCTATGGCATTGAATGTTTGCCATGTATATGTACATTGTAATCTGCTCTGAGTCCCCTGCAGGATGAGAAGGTTGGAATATAAATACTGTAAACAAACAAACAAACAAACAAACAAACAAACAAACAATGCCTGATGAATGCAGTTTCTGGTTGCTTGAGAGTTACTATTAAAAATAGGGTCTGTACTATATCTCATACTATACCATACCATAAACTGTGAATTGACTTCATATCAATACCAAAATACAGTAATTAAAAGCAAATAACAACAAAGTCAATTGAATGCAATTATTATACACTTCGGGTCCATCCTATCTTGGAGACCGCATCTCCTTCTATGAACCGATGCAGGCCTTGAGATCTGTTGGGGAGGTCCTTCTCTCAGTCCCATCACCATCACAGGTGTGGCTGGTGGGGATGAGAGAGGGGGGCTTCTCAGTGGTGGCTCCCTGGCTCTGGAATGTCCCCCCAAGAGAGATTAGATTAGCCCCAAATCTCCAAATCTTCTGTTTGAGCTTAAAGTTGGGGCTATTTACATGGGCCTTTGACCTGGAATGATGTACTGTGGTCATGTGATGATGTCGACCATTGTTATTTGGCACTTTAGTTCGTGTTTGGAGAAACCCAATGACGTATAGGAATGACCATGTTTGTTGAAGCTCAGCCTGTGATTGTGTTTCAGGATCATGGTGCTTTGGATGTGGGGAATGATGTTCAAGATGAGTTTCAAGATGGCAATGGTTTGGTCAGTGATCTTGATGCAGAGACTGACCAGGAGATGCCTGTAGTTTCCCAGGAGAATGTCCCCGAGGAGTGTAGGGATGATTGTGTGCTTTCTGAATTGTTACCAGAGACTTCTCATGAGAGAGAACATGAAAATAGCTCGGCACCTGGCTCAGCTGCGAAAGTTAATGAGCAAGTAGATAAGGAGCCCTGAGATAGACAAGAAGAGATTAGTCAAAACAGGAGGCCTGTGCAATGACTTTGACGCTCTGCCAGGCTTTGACAGAAAACAACTACAAAGCCTCAACTAAAGAGAAACCAATTTCTGACCGCTAGTAACCTAGCTAATGAGGGGATAAAAGTCTCAAATTTGGGATGTGTAGTCAGATGAAGCATCATTTAGAATCACGCCAAGTTCTTGTCCTTGTTCATGGAAGCCTTGCTTTAAAGATTCATGCTAAGAAATTTCTTGTTTCATGGTATTGATTCCTGGATTTCATGATTGCTTACCCAAGCCTTGGATCAATGTATTCCTGATTTTCTGGATTGTATTAGAGTTGTTTGGACTTTCCTTTTATGGACGTTGCTGAACTCTACCTTGGACTAATTTGTTCCTGCTTATCTTCTTACCTAATTGGATTTACCAATTTCTTTAAAGTGCTTTTTGCTTTACAGTTTTTTTTACTTATCTATATAAATAAAAATGTTGTTTGTGGGATGAACATAACTCAAAAACCACTGGGTGAATTGACACCAAATTTGGACACAACACACCTATCAGGCCAATGAGTGACCATAATTAATAAAAACACTGGAAAGCCAAAAAATGCATTACAACACATGTGCAAAACTACATATATACACAAATACACATATACACACATACAAAATACATATACACAGACTGGACCACAGCAACGTGTGGCAGGGGGTGGCTAGTCTTCAATAAAAGGATTGTTTTTTCCTAAACATGTGGAGTTTAAAGTCAGAGGATTATTCTTGTCCTGGAGTGCAACACAGTTTCAGAATTTTTTTAAAAAATTAATTTTATTGATTGACATTGTCCATTGTTTGTATTTAGTCAAATTGTGTATTGTTTTGATGATATGTAATTCTATTTTATGTGTGGCGCTCAGTGTGCTTTCTTAGCCGCCACGAGTTCCTTCGGGGAGATGGTGACAGGATACAAATAAATTATTATTATTATTATTATTATTATTATTATTATTATTATTATTTCTTTTTATTGTCGAAGGCTTTCATGGCTGGAATCACTAGGTTCTTGTGGGTTTTTTCGGGCTATAGGACCTCACTACCTCTGAGGATGCTTGCCATAGATGCAGGCGAAACGTCAGGAGAAATGCCTCTAGAACATGGCTCTATAGCCTGAAAAAACCCACAAGAACCTATTATTTCTTTTATCTTTTTATTTATTATTTTTATTTATTTACTTTATTTATATACCGCTTTTCTCAGCCCTCAGGCAACTTTTTGTCACTTACAGTTAACTGAGAATCTACCATACTGTTCTTGTTGCTCCATTTGCAGCAATGGAAGTAAGCTGGGGACAGAGGAGGAAAAGGAAGAAGCTGGGGCATTGGAAAAATAGCTGAAAAAGTGGGATGGCAAAGGATGACTTGGGATTCTTTTTGCCAAGTGAGGACAGTTGGAAGGCAAGACATTTTAGGTATTGAAGAATATGTGTTCCAAGGCTGGTCCAGCTCCATCAAGCCATGGAGACTCCTTTGTGCCATAAACCAACCAACATGCATTCGCTCTATGACTTTTATAGGGAGAGGTTGGGGCCTTTACCTGTCGGAAGAAGGTGATGGGCTTCTGCTCCATGGCTTGGGCATCCCCAACGTTGACATGGATGACCTCCGAGAAGGGCTTCTTTACTCCCTGCAATGAAGAAAGACAACGTGGGGAAGGGGTTCAAGGGCACACAAAGAGAGCAGGGTGACCATCACTTGAACTCAGGTTTGCGCTTTGAGTTGAAGCTACCCGGAATAGCACTAGGAAGGATCTTAAGGGCCATCTAGTCCACCCCATGCCAGCAGATGCAACCTCTTGCTTTCGCACTCTCTTCCTTCACTTCCATCAAATCTTTTCCCACTTTCTGGAGGTGAAATGGTGTCTCCTGTATATCAAAGCAGTGGCACTAATATTTTCCACCTCTGGTGTAGATCAGGGCTCTCAAACTCATCTTCATGGAGGGTCACATTGACCTTAGGGTTGCCTTCAAAGGCCATTGAATCCATGGATGGAGAATCAGTGGATACAGAGAGCCAGCTGTAGTTTTTTTTCTTATTGTATTGGTTGGTGCTCTTTAGTCTTTACCCAGTTTGGGTCCCCAGATGTTACTGGACGACAACTCCCATCACTTCTGATTAAATGCGATGTGGACTGGGGATGATGGGAATGGTAACCCAACAGCCCCTGTGGCTCTGTGCTTGGGGAAAGGTGGAAGGGCATTTTAAGGACAGACATCATAATCACCAAGTCTTGGATTTCAATCCAAATCCCACTCTCCTAACTAAACAAAATCCACTGGAGATGGTACTGTAACACAATTCCTATTAACCTACTGCAGCTATTCCTGACCTGTTGCAGCCCTTCCTTGCCTGCTGCATATGTTCCTTACCTACTACATGGTTTCCTTATCTGCTGCATTTCTTCCTTACCTGCTATAGCCCTTCCTTACCTGTTGTATCTCTTCCTTACCTGCTGTAGTCCTTCCTTACCTATTGCATCTCTTCCTTACCTGCTAAAGCTCTTTCTTACCTGCTACAGCCCTTCCTTACCTGGCTGCATCTCTTCCTTGCTTGCTGCAGCCCTTCTTTACCTGCTGGATCTCTCCCTTACCTGGCTGCATCTCTCCCTTATCTGGCTGCATCTCTTCTTTACCTGGCTGCATCTCTTCTTTACCTGGCTGCATCTCTTTCTTACCTGCTGCAGCCCTTCCTCACCTGCTGCATCTCTTCCTTATCTGCTGCATCTCTTTCTTACTTGCTGCATTTCTTCCTTACCTGCTACAGCCCTTCCTTGCCTGTTGCAGCTCTTTCTTACCTGCTGCAGCCCTTCTTTGCCTGCTGGATCCTTCCTTACCTGGCTGCATCTCTCCATTATCTGGCTGCAGCTCTTTCTTACCTGCTGCAGTCCTTCCTTACCTGCTGCAGCCCTTCTTTGCCTTCTGAATCTCTCCCTTACCTGGCTGCAGCCCTTCCTTACCTGCTGGATCTCTCCTTTACCTGGCTGCATCTCTTCCTTACCTGCTGCAGCTCTTTCTTACCTGTTGCATCTCTTCCTTACCTGCTGCAGCCTTTCCTTACCTGCTGTATCTCTCCTTTACCTGGCTACATCTCTTCCTTACCTGCTGTATCTCTCCTTTACCTGGCTACATCTCTTCCTTACCTGCTGCAGCTCTTCCTTACCTGCTGTAGCTCCTTCTCCAGCTGGACGGCGCGGGTGATGATGGGCCCCCGGACATCGTACTCCATCCTCTTAATGCAAGGATTCATGGACTCTAGGGTCAGGACCCTGTCCCGCTGGCGGGGAAGAGTGTTTGCTGCCATCCCTGCCTGGCAAGCTGCCCGGCACACGTCTCTGCTAAGAAAGAGGGGCACAGTACTAAACAATGGGGGCATCAAGCTATTCACCCTGGCTAAGCAGCCCAGGAGCACCTTGGGAGTGCCACACCTGCACATTGCCTTTGCATGAAAGCTCCCCAGGTGAGGCTAAAGTCCTGCCAACCAGGACTTCAACCCAGGTGGCAAAGGTCTGGCTGTTCCCAGAAAGGAAGGGGAGGCCCCATGCCATTTGCATTTCACGATCCAGGCTGGCATTTTCATAAGGCCAGAGAGCAGTGGTTCTCAGGTGTCTTGGTCTACAGCTACAGTTTACCAGCTGTTAAGATTTCTGGGAGTTGAAGGCCAAAACATCTGGGGACCCACAGGTTGAGAACCACTTCCAAGGAGGGAAACAACTACCCAACACAGCCGTTTGCTCTTTGGTCACCATGCTTGAGCCACATGCCTCTGCGGAGAAAGAATCATAGAATCAAAGAGTTGGAAGAGACCTCCTGGGCCATCCAGTCCAACCCCATTCTGCCAAGAAGCAGGAATATTGCATTCAAATCACCCCTGACAAATGGCCATCCAGCCTCTGCTTAAAAGCTTCCAAAGAAGGAGCCTCCACCACACTCCGGGGCAGAGAGTTCCACTGCTGAACGGCTCTCACAGTTAGGAAGTTCTTCCTAATGTTCAGATGGAATCTCCTCTCAAAGAGGGGCAGAGAGCTGAGCAATAGGGGCACCAACCCATTCACCCTGGCAAAACAGCCCAGGAGTCATACATCATACATACATGCCAGACATCAAGGGAACCACTGGCCGCAGAGGGAAGCTGATGAGGAAACACAACATACAAACAATCTACAGACCCACTAAGAAAATCCAACAAATGCTCCATTCAGCAAAGGACAAGAGGGATGCTTTCACCTCTGCAGGAGTCTACCGTGTACCATGCAGCTCTGGACATGTCTACATGGGGACCACCACACACGCATCAAGCACCCAAACACGCATCAAGGAACATGAAAGGCATTGCAGACTACGTCAACCAGAGAAGTCAGCCATAGCAGAGCACCTGATGAACCAGCCTGGACACAACATATTATTTGAGAACATAGAAATGCTGGACCACTCTCACAACCACCATGTCAAACTACACAGAGAAGCCATTGAAATCCACAAGAAGCATGTGGACAACTTCAACAGAAAGGAGGAAACCATGAAAAGAAACACAATCTGGCTACTAGTATTTAAAAAAACCCTCTAAAATTAGAACAGCACAACAACAGAGAGGAAACAAACAAGGACATCTAATCACCTCTCAACAAAAGATTGCCCCAAGCACTGCTAGGCCATCAAATGCTAATCAAGGTGGTCAGTTGAAACATTCACACCTAGCTCCAACAGACAAGAGTCCTTTGTCCCACCCTGGTCATTCCACAGATATATAAACTCCTTTTTCCTACTTCCAACAGACCTCACTACCTCTGAGGATGCTTGCCATAGATGCAGGCAAAACGTCAGGAGAGAATGCCTCTACAATATGGCCATATAGCCCGAAAAAACTCACAACAACCCAGCCCAGGAGTCCCTTGCCAGCCTTGGGCATCACCTTTGTGGGGAAGCTCTGCAGGTGAGGCTAAAGTCCGGCCAACCAGGACTTCAACCCAGGTGGCAAAGGTCTGGGCATCCCCAGATTGGTGAGCCTGGTGCAGAGAGGAAGTGGGGGTGCCTGCACTTGATATTTGCGTTTCAGGATCTAGGTTGGCATTTTGGCAAGGCCAAAGAGGGAAACACCTACCCAACCTACCAGTTTGCAATTTGACCACCTTCCTAGCCCAACACCTACCCAAAGCAGGAGCTTCTCCAAGGCAATGCAAGAGGAAAGAGAGCCGGCAGCTGCTTTTAATGCAGGGCAGGAGAGAGGAGGCGGTGGCTCCGGGGAGGGAAGAAAGGGGCACATTGTTGGCCGGGACTGAAAGGGATGCAAACAAAAACCCAAAGGAACAAGGCCCTCTCCATCCTTCTTTTTTAGTTTTTTTAAATTGATGTTTTATTGTTTAAAGCCCCCTTCGCTGTGTTTTTATGAGTGATGGTCACTCGTTGGCCTGAGAGGTGTCTTGTGTCCAAATCTGGTGTCCATTCGTCCCAAGAGTTTTCGAGTTACGTTAATCCCACAAACGAACATTACATTTTTATTTATGTAGACTAGCCGTATCCACCATGCTTTGCTGTGGCCAGCCTTCCTTCCCTCATTCTCTCCTTCTTTCCCTCCTTCATTCACTCCCTCTTTCCTTCCTTCATTCCCTTTTCTTCTTTCCTTCTCTCCTTCCTTCCTTCTCTATCTCATTCCTTCCCTCCCCCCTTTTTTTCTTCCTCTTTCCCTCCTTTCTTATTTCTCTACCTCTTTCCTTCCTTCAGTCTTTGCTTCCATGCTTCCTTCTCTTTCCTTCTTTCCTTTCCTTCCTCTTTCTCTCCCTCTTTCTCTTCTTCCTTTGCTCCCTCTTTCCTTCCTTCCCTTTTTCTTTCCTTCTTCCTTCTCTACCTCTTTCCTTCCTCACCCCTTTTTCTTTTCCTTCCCCTTTCTCTCCTTTCTTCCTTCTCTATTTCTTTCCTTTCTTCCTTCACTCTGCTTCCATGCTTCCTTCTCTCTTGCCTTCTTTCTTTCCCTCCCTCCCTCTTCCTTCCTTCCTTCCTTCCTTCCTTCCTTCCTTCCTTCCTTCCTTCCCTTCCTTCCTTCCTTCCTTCCCTCCTCCCTTTCTTTCTTTCTTTCTTCCATCCTTTCTTCCTTCTTTCTCTTTCTTTCTTTCTTTCTTTCTTTCTTTCTTTCTTTCTTTCTTTCTTTCTTTCTTTCTTTCTTCCCTCCTCCCTCCCTCCCTCCCTCCCTTTCTTTCTTTCTTTCTTTCTTTCTTTCTTTCTTTCTTTCTTCTTTCTTTCTTTCTTTCCTCCCTCCTTTCTTCCCTCCTCTCTTTCTTTCTTTCTTTCTTTCTTTCTTTCTTTCTTTCTTTCTTTCTTTCTTTTTCTTTCTTTCTTCCCTCTTCCCTCCCTCCCTCCCTCCCTCCCTCCCTCCCTTCTTTCTTTCTTTCTTTCTTTCTTTCTTTCTTTCTTTCTTTCCTTCCTTCCCTCCCTTTCTTCCCTCCTTTCTTCCTTCCCTCCCCCCTCTCTTTCTCTCTCTCTCTCTCTCTTTCTTTCTTTCTTTCTTTCTTTCTCTCTCTCTCTTTTTTCTTCCTTTCTTTCTTCCTTTCTTCCTTCCTTTCTTTCTTTCTTTCTTTCTTTCTTTCTTTCTTTCTTTCTTTCTTTCCTCCTTTCTTCCCTCCTCCCTCCCTCCTCCCTCCCTCCCTCCCTCCCTCCCTCTTTCTTTCCTCCCTCCCTCCCTCCCTCCCTCCCTCCCCTCCTTTCTCTCTCTCTCTCTCTTTCTTTCTCTCTTTCTTTCTTTCTTTCTTTCTTTCTTTCTTTCTTTCTTTCCTCCTTTCTTCCTTCCTCCCTCCTCCCTCCCTCTTCCTTCCTCCCTCCTCCCTCCCCCCTCCCTCCCTCCCTCCCTCCCTCTCTCTTCTCTTCTCTCTCTTTCTTTCTTTCCTCTTTTCCTTCTTTCTTTCTCCCTTCTTTCTTTCCTTCCTTCCTTCCTCCTCCCTTCCTCTTCCTCCTTCCTTTCCTTTCCTCCCTTCCCTCCCTTTTTTCTGTATTGTCATTTATTTTTGTCATTTAGCTTTTTGGGGTTTTTAAATCCTTTCCACTATTTTTTTTGGGGGGGGGGGTGAGGGTATGAGTGATGGTCACTCGTTGGTCTGTTATGGGTATAGTGTCCAAATTCTGTGTCAATTCATCCAGTGGTTTTTGAGTTATGTTAATCCCACAAACGAAAATTACATTATTATTTATGTAGATTGCACAGGTGTTGTCAGGTCACAATGACACCCCCTTCATCAGATCACCTATAGTCTGTAGTCGACTAGAGTACAGCAGAGCCATGGGTTCAAATGGCAGGAAAAGAGACGTTGGGTAGAAATTGCAGGCAGGGAGAGCTGTTGGACAAGGTGGCCTTGAAAACTGGAAGAATCCCATTCTGCGGAGGTCTTTAAGCTGAGGCTGGATGGGAGGGCTTGGGAGGTGTCTTCCTGCCTGAAGAATAAGGTCAGACTGGATGGCTTTTGAGTCCCCTTCACAGTCCAGGACAAAGATTGCCATAGACCCGAGTGCAGATTTCTGGACAGAAAGGGGAGGGTAAGGACAAAGGGCAGCAAAGTTATGCACAGAAGTGTGTGTGCTGTATTGATTGCCCAGAGCTGTCCTTGGCTGACCCCAGAGGTCATCCCTTTATGGCCCTATGCTTAGAGGATTGCCATGTTTCTTTGGCTGGCCTGTTCCTCTGCCTTTCTCAGATGCTTCTTGGAGGCCAAGGAGTCCACGGGCAAAACGGGTCTTTCTTGATCCTGGGAAGTGTTGGCCTCCCAGCAAAGGGACCCTACAGAGAGAAAAGCCCTTCCAATGCCCCCTCCTGGCTTGCAATAAGGCCACAAAGGGATGACCTCTGGGGTCAGCCAAGGACAGCACTAGGCAATCAATACAGCACACACACTTCTGCGCATACCTTTGCTGCCCTTTGTCTTTTCCCTCCCCTTTCTGATGGGAAATCCACACTCGGATCAATGGCAAGGGGACCCAAAGGCCATCCAATCTGACCTCATTCTTCAGGCAGGAAGGCACTACCCAAGCCCTCCCAATAGATGGCCATCCAGCCTCAGCTTAAAGAACTCCAGAGAAGGGGATCCCATCAGTGTTCAAGGCAGCCTTGAGCATTCTGAACTCCACCAATGATGGAATCCAACCAAACTTGGCACACAGAACTCCCATGACCAACAGAAAATAGTGGAAGGATTTGGTGGGCATTGACCTTGAGTTTTGGAGTTGTAGTTCACCTACATCCAGAGATCACTGTGCACTCAAGCAATGATGGATCTGGACCAAACTTGGCACAGATACTCAATATGCTCAACACTGGTGTAGTAGGGGGAAAATAGACATAACGTTTGAGAGCTGCAGTTGCTGGGATTTATAGTTCACCTACAATCAAAGAGCATTCTGAACTCCACCAATGATGGAATTGAACCAAACTTGGCACACAGAACTCCCATGACCAACAGAAAATACTGGAAGGGTTTGGTGGGCATCGACCTTGAGTTTGGAAATTGTAGTTCACCTACATCCAGAGAGCACTGTGCACTCAAGCAATGATGGATCGGGACCAAACTTGGCATGGATACTCAATATGCTCAACACTGGTGGAGTAAGGGGAAAATAGACTTAACATTTGAGAGTTGTAGTTGTTGGGATTTATAGTTCACCTACAATCAAAGGACATTCTGAACACCACCAACAATAGAATTGGGCTAGACTTCCCATACAGAACCCCCATGACCAACAGAAAATACTGTGTCTTCTGGTGGTCTTTTGTGACCCCTCTGATACCCCCTTGCAACCCCCCAGCGGGTCTTGACACCGAGGTTGAGAAACACTGATCTACTTTTTTCCTGCCATTTGAACCCATGGCTCTGTTGTGCTCTAGTCTCCAGAGCAACAGAAAACAAGCTCAACGTGACATCCTTTCCAATATATACACTTGGCTCTCGTGTCTCCTCACCTTCCTTGGTTGACCCTCAGAGATCACACTCTCTCGGCCTCGAAGGAAGGCCAAGAAGGGTGGTTACAAAGGGGGTTGGGTCCCAGAACAAGAGCAGTCCTGCACGACCCATGGCTGATCCATGCAAAGCTGCTTCATGGCCTCACAAGGCGGTCATCGATGTACCGGTCTGAGGACCTGATGTGGCAATGCAATTGTGCCGTGAGCCAATGACCAGCTTGAGACTTTGCCACATCCAACTCAGCCATGGGCCTATCACCACCGGGCACAGGCACCCCGCCTTCTCCCAGCCAGACTCCATGCCAAGACCCTCTTGGCCCTCCCAGCTTGACCCCTCCCAGGCTGGCTCTGTCATAAACACACCAGAGACAACCTGGAACAATGGGGAGCATTTATTGAAGGAACTAGCGGAAGTCATTTCGGAACCATTGGCAACCATCTTTGAGAGTTCTTGGAGAATGGGAGAAGTTCCAGCAGACTGGAGGAGGGCCAATGTGGTCCCAATCTTCAAGAAGAGAAAAAAGTAATGCTCCCCATGCTCCATTCTGCTTTGGTTAGACCACACCTGGAATATTGTGTCCAATTCTGGGCACCACAATTCAAGAGAGATATTGACAAGCTGGAATGTGTCCAGAGGAGGGCGACTCAAATGATCAAGGGTCTGGAGAACAAGCCCTATGAGGAGCGGCTTAAGGAGCTGGGCATGTTTAGCCTGAAGAAGAGAAGGCTGAGAGGACATATGATGAGAGCCATGTATTAATATGAGAGAGGAAGCCACAGGGAGGAGGGAGCAGGCTTCCTTTCTGCTTCCCAGGAGACTAGGACGCAAGGGAACAATGGCTTCAAACTACAAGAGAGGAGATCCCACCTGAACATGAGGAAGAACTTCCTGACTGTGAGAGCCGTTCAGCGGTGGAACTCTCTGCCCCGGAGTGTGGTGGAGGCTCCTTCTTTGGAAGCTTTTAAGCAGAGGCTGGATGGCCATCTGTCGGGGGTGCTTTGAATGCCATATTCCTGCTTCTTGGCAGAATGGGGTTGGACTGGATGGCCCATGAGATCTCTTCCAACTCTTTGATTCTATGATTCTATGATTAAAGAGGTACTAGGTATTTCCCAATTATGGGCAAAGCTTGGCGTACCCTTCCCAGGCTGCAGGGGGAGCCATGGGGCATTGCCCACCCCATTGCCTTTGCAAGGCCAACCGAGGCTCACCTGGAAACTCCTGGCCTTCGGAGCTGGACAGGTGGATGAATGCCCTCTTTGCCAGCTTCTCCTCCTCCTCCTCCTCCTGTTTGGGGTCAATAATCCTTACTCACTGGCACAGGCAGGAAGGACTCGGGTGACCAGAGGGAGGGAAGAGGGTGGGGGCATCACATGGGCCTCTCCGGCCAGCTTGACCTTTGGCGCCACAGCAGCTGCTTCCAGGAGTGAGAAGCCAGGCGTGGAATCACTAAATTTAAACCTTGCTTGCTCTCCTTGCAGGAAAATAACAACACTGGAGAGTGAAGGCCGTCTGACCCCAAGGGCTCAATGCTATGGCTTCCTGGGAGATGCAGTTCAGTGAGGCCAAAGACCTCATAAGGCTGCAACAGTTATGATTCTGTTAAAGCCTTTCCAGGTCCTGCAATGTGTGACTCTTTGCTCAACCTCCAACATAGGATTATAATCATATCATCCTAGAGTTGGAAGAGGTCTGGTGGGCCACCCAGTCCAACCCCATTCTGCCAAGAAGCAGGAAAATCGCATTGAAAGCACCCCCAACAGATGGCCATCCAGCCTCTGCTTAAAAGCCCCCAAAGAAGGAGCCTCGACCACACTCCCTCCAGGGCAGAGAGTTCCACTGCTGAACAGCCCTCTCTCTCAGTCAGGAAGTTCTTCCTCATGTTCAGATGGAATCTCCTTTCCTGTAGTTTGAAGCCATGGTTCCATTGCGTCCTAGTCTCCAGGGCAGCAGAAAGTAAGCCTGCTCCCTTCTCCCTACTGATATCGAGCTAGAATTTAGAGGCTCCCACCCAGGGGAGAGTGAAGTCCAGTATCCCCCCCCCTAACAAGGGATGGTGACTTATAGTTCTGCAAAGGACAAAGGTACCATACTGCACAATAGGGGATAAGCCTTGGTCAATTTGCCAAGACCTTAACAACAATGAGGACCCCATGAAACTTCGGGAATGGCTAGACCTTGGGATCTCTGCCTCTCTCGAGAGAGCTGTAGTTTTCCAAGGACCATGGGACCGGCTTCCATCCCAGTCCTGCAGGGCTTTGTGTCTTGGCCCAGTGGAACTCCATAGACTCCCTTTGGTGGCTTTTTGAATTCTGCTACATTCCTGGACTTCACTCTCTTCAAGGACTCGCTCCCTACCCATGAACTTTCTTCAAGACAACTTATGCTGTGTCCTGATATCGTCTGCTTTTTATAATTGGCATTATTAATTTCTATCTGGGGTCCTGAATGGGAAGATACCTGCATATGATTTCCCTGTGTATAATATCTATATTTTTTTTTTATGTTTCCTTGTATTCCTGACCCTTTGCCCCCTCTCCCTCCAAAGAAATATGTAAGGAAACCCCCTGGCCTTCAGAAACAAAAGCCATTAGCGATTACTGAAACCTCACGCCAAAGACACACTTGCATGGATAAAAGAAGGAAATTCTTATCTCTAGCATCGGAAGATGGCCCACTAGAGTAAAGAATTGTTTGACAAAAGTTTCTGTAAGATAAGGGGAAACCTCCCCCTCTGCTTTTGTTTACTTAGCATTAACCTCAGGCTGCCATCATTGTTCTCCTGTCTCACAGCCAGGAAGGATCTGGATATTTTTACACATGTTGATTCACAACACTCAGAGCAGCTCTGCTTGAGCTCTTTGTCTCGCCGGCCACATGGCATTTTCTTTGTTTAAAGATCATCCCGCCTCCATCTCTCCTGATTGGCTGTTGCCATCAGGTGGCAGATGTCTCCTCATTGGATCCTACAGACCACTGGAGCTTCCTGATTGGTCCAGAGGCACCGGGGGCAGGAGGGCCACCTCCCAGCTGTTCGCCTATCGCCCAATCATGGCGGGGAACAGCAGGGAAGCCGGGGCAGGGAGTTTGAACTCTGCAACTTTGAATTTGCTATAAATATGACTGTATTGGTGTACTCCCCTCATGCTTAGCTTTGGCGAATGATTGCAGCTCTGCATCCGTTTCAGCTGAATCGCATTAAACCTCGATGGCTTTTCTTCAACTGGTGAGACTTTTCATTGGGAAATCAGGGAAAAATGGGATGCTTCTCTGTCTTGCCAGGGAAAAAGTTTGATGAGTCTAATTGGTCTCTGCCTCCTGGCAAAGACCCCTAAATTTTATCTCTACATCAAGAGGAGCCCTTAGATCCACCAAGGAGGATCCGGTACTCTGGCGAGCAAAGAGAAAAAGAGCCAAGGAATTTCCCCTGATTTTTCCCAAATAAATCTCACCAAAGTTGAAGAAAAGCCACCGAGTTGTATTTATTTCGTCCAGTGGTACGGAAGTCAAACACATAGAAGAACTTCCCCGCCTCCATCTCCCCAAGGGGACTTGAGGCAGCTTGCATGGGGCCAAGCCCAAGGCAACATACAATTAAAAACAGAATAATAGCATAAAAACAGCACAAACAATAATAAACAAGCATCATAAGCAACAAAAGACTCATATATATATATATATTGGGGGGGAAGGGGGCAATATGCGAAATGAGTTAAAGGATAGGCTGGTCAACAAGGTGGATAGAACGTATAGTAGCATAGGAATTGAGCAATTAAACAGGATCATTTCAACTTAACTTAAAAATGTAGTAAAGCTATTGTCCTCCCAACTCTGCTATACGCCTGCGAAACGTGGACTGTCTACAGACGTCACATGCAACTCCTGAAACGATTCCATCAGTGCTGCCTCTGGAAAATCCTGCAAATCTCTTGGGAAGACAGGTGGACAAATGCCAGCGTGCTGGAAGAAGCAAAGACCACCAGCATTCAAGCGATGGTCCTCCACCAACAACTCCGCTGGACTGGCCACGTTGTCGAAATGCCCAACCACCGTCTCCCAAAGCAGTTGCTCTATTCCGAACTCAAGAATGGAAAACGGAATGTTGTGAGCAGAAAAAGAGGTTTAAAGGTGGGCTCAAAGCCAACCTTAAAAACTCTGAAATAGACACCGAGAACTGAGAAGCCCTGGCCCTTGAGCGCTCCAGCTGGAGGTCAGCTGTGACCAGCAGTGCTGTAGAATTGGAAGAGGCACGAATAGAGAGCGAAAGAGAGAAATGTGCCAAGAGAAGGTGTGTCAAGCCAACCCCAACCGGGACCACCTCCCACCTGGAAACGGATGCCTTCACTGCAAGAGAACATGCAGATCAAGAATAGGGGTCCACAGCTACCTACAAACCCACCGCCAAGACACCGATCTTGGAAGACAATCCTACTTGGACAACGAGGGATCATCTAAATAAGTAAGTAAGTAAGAATGGGATTATTCCTCATGGATTCAGTTCCACAAAAGCAGCACCTGATGGACTTGGTCACCAGAGGGCAGCATGTGACTCCAGGCTGAATCTAGAGGAGGAGTGTCCACATTCAGGGAAGTCCACTCTCTTCTGCTTTGGTCAGAATAGCACTGTGTCCACTTCTATGCAAAGTAATACAAGAAAGAGATGGACTGGACTGTCCAAAACAGGCATGGGGTAACTTTGTCCCTCCCTCCAGGTTTTATAGGAGTGGGTTAAAGCACTGAGCTGCTGAGCTTGTTGACCGAAAGGTTGCAGGTTTGATTCCGGGGAGCAGCGTGAGCTTCCACTGTCAGCCCTAGCTTCTGCCAACTTAGTAGTTCGAAAACATGCAAATGTGAGTAGATCAATGGGTAACGCTCTGGCGGGAAGGTAACAGCGCTCCATGCAGTCATGCCGGCCACATGACCTTGGAGGTGTAGATGGACAACGCTGGCTCTTCAGCTTAGAAATTGAGATGAGCACCACACCCCAGAGTTAGACATGACTGAACTTAATGTCAGGGGACTACCTTTACCTTTACCTACCAGGTGTTTTGGACTTCCACTCCCAGAATTCCGAACAGCCGGTATTTTTGAAACACCCTGAATTTTCTATACAAGGACACAAGATAAAGGTAAAGGTTACCCCTTGATGTTTAAGTCTAGTCGTATTCGATTCTGGAGGTTGGTGCTCATCTCCATTTCTAAACTGAAGAGATGGTGTTGTCCGGAGACACCTCCAAGGTCATGTGGCCACTGGCATGACTGCATGGAGCGCTGTTACCTTCCCACAGAAGCGGTAACTATTGACCTACTCACATTTGCTACCACCTCACCCATTTCATAGGAAATCTGCTACAAAACAGGAGCTTCTTTGTTGAGTTCCAGGGCCAGAGAAGCAGATGGCAGAAACAGAAGAACGGCCTGCCTCAGGGGAGCGTGCTTGCTCTATCAATGTTCAACATCTACACAAATGACCAGCCACTGCCAGAAGGGACAGAGAGCTTCATCTATGCTGATGATCGTGCCATCACCGCTCAAGCAGGAGCTTTGAGATGGTTGAACAGAAGCTCTCCGAAGCTCTAGGTGCTCTTACTGCCTAGGGAAAACCAACTGATCCCTAATCCATCTAAAACACAGACATGTGCCTTTCACCTTAAGAACAGACAAGCATCCCGACAAGCATCTGATGATCGTGCCATCAATTTTCGTAGAAAATTATACTCAAGGATCTAGTGTGTTTGTCATTTATTTACCGTGTCAGGAGTGAACCAAAACAGTTGTATTGCATCCATGCTGGTGTTTCTTCCTTGATTTCCTTCAGCAATTTTTTTATTTGTCGTGTCAGGGCAACCAGTCAATTGTATTACATTTCTAACAGAACAAAACAAACAAACAAAACACAAAGTTTTCAGGCTTGGTAGTTGATTAGATGTCCTTTGACCAGTATCTGGCCACTTGGAGTGCTTCTGGTGTTGCCGCAAGGAGGTCTTCCACTGTGCATGTGGCAGGGCTCAGGTTGCATTGCAGCAGGTGGTCTTTGGTTTGCTCTTCTCCACACTCGCATGTCAAGGATTCCACTTTGTGGCCCCATTTCTGAAGGTTGGCTCTGCATCTCGTGGTGCCAGAGCGCAGTCTGTTCAGCCTTCCAAGTCGCCCAGTCTTCTGTGTGCCCAGGGGGGAGTCTCTCATTTGGTATCAGGTTCTGGGTTTGAGCCTGCCACTTTTGGACTCTCGCTTGCTGAGGTGTTCCAGCGAGTGTCTCTGTAGATCTTAGAAAACTATCTCTTGATTTAAGTCGTTGACGTGCTGGCTGATACCCAAACAGGGGATGAGCTGGAGATGTCTCTGCCTTGGTCCTTTCACTATTGGCTGCTACTTCCCGGCGGATGTCAGGTGGTGCAATACCAGCTAAGCCGTGTAATTTCTCCAGTGGTGTAGGGCGCAGACACCCCATGATAATGCGGCATGTCTCATTAAGAGCCACATCCAATGTTTTAGTGTGGTGAGATGTGTTCCACACTGGGCATGCGTACTCAGCAGCAGAGTAGCAAAGCGCAAGGGCAGATGTCTTCACTGTGTCTGGTTGTGATCCCCAGGTTGTGCCAGTCAGCTTTTGTATGATATTGTTTCTAGCACCCACTTTTTGCTTGATATTCAGGCAGTGCTTCTTGTAGGTCAGAGCACAGTCCAGAGTGACTCCCAGGTATTTGGGTGCGCTGCAATGTCCAGTGGGATTCCTTCCCAGGTAATCCTCAGAGCTCGGGATGCTTGTCTGTTCTTAAGGTGAAAAGCACATGTCTGTGTTTTAGATGGGTTAGGGATCAGCTGGTTTTCCCTGTAATAGGCAGTAAGAGCACCTAGAGCTTCGGAGAGCTGTTTGTCATGCTAACCACAAACTAACCTCAAACCAAAATCTGACCTCCAAGGAGTTGCACTTCCCTTTTTAAAGTAAATTTTATTCAAGAGAGAAAGAACGCAAGAGAACGGCAAGAGCAATACAAACAAGCAAAGTTTTGTGATCTGAAATACTAAAGCTGAATGGCTATATTCTACCAACTACCAACATGAGCCTACCATTTGTACAAAAACAACACCCACAAACAGGTCCCTAGCAAACCTGACTGGAAAGGGCGAAAACCTGACTGGAAAGGGTCCAGGCCAGCTGTGTCATCCAGGAATTGTTGCAATTGTGCCAGTACAGCCCGCTCTATCTTTAACAAGGGACGAACCCTTGCCTCTTTTAGGTTGTCCGGGAAAACCCCCTGTTCCAGAGAGCCATGGATTATATTGTTCAACAGATCGAGTAGATTGTAGGTTTTCCGGGCTATATGGCCATGTTCTGGAGGCAATTTTTCTCCTGACGTTTCGCCTGCATCTATGGCAAGCATCCTCAGAGGTAGTGAGGTCTGTTGGAAGTAGGAAAAGTGGGTTTATATATCTGTGGAATGACGACAAAGGACTTTTGTCTGCTGGGGCTAGGTGTGAATGTTTCAGCTGATCACCTTGATTAGCATTCAATGGCCTGGAAGCGCCTGGGGGGAATCTCTTGTTGAGAGTGATTTTATGTGCCTGTTTGTTTCCCCTCTGTTGTTTTGCTGTTGTAATTTTTGAGTTTTTTAATACTGGTAGCCAGATTTTGTTCATTTTCATGGTTTCTTCCTTTCTGTTGAAATTGTCCACATGCTTGTGGATTTCAATGGCTTCTCTGTGTAGTCTGACATGGTGGTTGTTGGAGTGGTCCAGCATTTCTGTGTTCTCAAATAATATGCTGTGTCCAGGCTGGTTCATCAGGTGCTCTGCTATGGCTGACTTCTCTGGATGAAGTAGTCTGCAGTGCCTTTCATGTTCCTTGATTCGTGTTTGGGCTGCGTTTGGTGGTCCCTATGTAGACTTGTCCACAGCTGCATGGTACACGGTAGACTCCTGCAGAAGTGAGAGGATCCCTCTTGTCCTTTGCTGAACGTAGCATTTGTTGGATTTTCTTGGTGGGTCTGTAGATAGTTTGTATGTTGTGTTTCCTCATCAGCTTCCATATGCGGTCAGTGGTTCCCTTGATGTATGGCAAGAACACTTTTCCTCTGGGTGGATCTTTGTCTTTACTCTCGTGGCTTGTTCTTGGGTCTTGCAGCTCTTCTGATGTCTGTGAGGGAGTCTCCTTTGGCCTGGAGAGCCCAGTTCAGGTGGCTCAATTCATCTTGGAGGAGGTGGCCTTTGCAGATCCTGTTTGCACCATCTACCAGGGCTTTAATGGTGCTTCTTTTCTGACCTGGGTGATGGTTGGAGTTTTGATGTAGATATCTATCTGTGTGTGTGGGTTTTCTGTAGACGGTGTGACCCAATTGTTGACCTGGTTTGCGGATGACTAGGACATCTAGAAAAGGCAGTCTTCCTTCATTTTCTTTTTCCGTGGTGAACTGGATGTTTGGGTGGATGCTGTTAAGATGGTCCAGGAACCTGTTGAGTTCTTCCTCCATACATCAAGGGAACCACTGACCGCATAGGAAAACTGATGAGGAAACACAACATACAAACAATCTACAAACCCACCAAGAAAATCCAACAAATGCTACGTTCAGCAAAGGACAAGAGGGATCCTCTCACCTCTGCAGGAGTCTACCGTATACCATGCAGCTGTGGACAAGTCTACATAGGGACCACCAAACGCAGCATTGCCCAAGCACGAATCAAGGAACATGAAAGGCACTGCAGACTACTTCAACCAGAGAAGTCAGCCATAGCAGAGCACCTGATGAACCAACCTGGACACAGCATATTATTTGAGAACACAGAAATGCTGGACCACTCTCACAGCCACCATGTCAGGCTACACAAAGAAGCCATTAAATCCACAAGCATCTGGCCCGTAGCCAGGATTTCGTTTCGGGGGGGGGGGGGGCTAAAAATTTTCAGGGGGGGTTGGGGGGGGCTGAGTTTCGGAGGGGGGGCTGAGTCTGAGTGAAAGAGGGTCTAGCCTAGCAAACCTTTTGTATCATTACCCCAATACCCCCATGCATATGGGATATATTGAGTATGGTGATCAGATCATGATATGAATAAACATAACAGTTTAAATAATGCACAGTAAGGCCTTTTCGCATGCACCATGAGAATTTCGGGGGGGGGCTGAAGCCCCCAAGCCCCCCCCCCCCCGCTACATGCCTGACAAGCATGTGGACAATTTCAACAGAAAGGAAGAAACCATGAAAATGAACAAAATCTGGCTACCAGTATTAAAAAACTAAAATTCAACAGCAAAACAACAGAGGGGAAACAAACAGGCACATAAAATCACTCTCAACAAAAGATTCCCCCCAGGCGCTTCCAAGCCATTGAATGCTAATCAAAGTGATCAGCTGAAACATCCACAGCTAGCCCCAGCAGACCAAAGTCCTTTGTCTCAGCCTGGTCATTCCACAGATATATAAACCCATTTTTCCTACTTCCAACAGACCTCACTACCTCTGAGGATGCTTGCCATAGATGCAGGCGAAACGTCAGGAGAAAATGCCTCTAGAACATGGCCATATAGCCCGGAAAAAACCTACAACAACCTAGTGATTACAACAGCAAAACAACAGAGAGTAAACAATCAGGCACATCAAATCACCTCTCAACAAAAGATTCCCCCAGGCACTTCCAAGCCATTAAATGCTAATCAAGGTGGTCAGTTGAAACATTCACACCCAGCTCCAGCAGACAAGAGTTCTTTGTCCCACCCTGGTCTTTCCACAGATATATAAACCCATTTTCCTAGTTCCAACAGACCTCACTACCTCTGAGGATGCTTGCCATAGATGCAGGCGAAACATCAGGAGAAAATGCCTCTAGAACATGGCCATATAGCCCAGAAAACCTACAACAACCCAGTGATTCCAGCCATGAAAGCCTTTGACAATACCTCTATTTTTTCACAGAGCAAATAACAAGTTCCCGATTCCTCGGAGAAGTGCACCTCCTTTGAGGTCAGGCTTTGGTGAGAGGTTACTTTGCGGTTGACATGACAAAGAGTGTCAACACTGTCGTTCTGAAGAAAAGATCAAGATCGTCGGTCAAAGCTAAGGAACAAAACAAGTGACCACAAAAATGGAGAAGTGGTCAGCTTCCCAGAACGAAGGGCTTCAAGGGTAGGAACTGCTCCCTTTCACATTACTTCGCAGGAATTGTTTTGATCCCCGAAGGTGGAGTTTGGAGGTGCTTAAAAGGTGCTGCAAGGAAAGTGATGCCTCATCCTAGGCTTCCTCCGAGCCTCCTCTTTCTAGCAACCCATCGTCCATTTTCCTCTTGTAAGTATTCCGTCTTTGACTTTGGCCATTCAATCTCTTTGTCTCTCTGTATTGTTTTCTCTGGAAGGTCTTCCTGGCACACCTAATCAGAAGGACTAGGCTTGGTTGATTTTTAAAAAATGGTTCAAAACTCGGGTTGTTGTAGGTTTTTCCGGGCTATATGGCCATGTTCTGGAGGCAATTTTTCTCCTGACATTTTGCCTGCATCTATGGCAAGCATCCTCAGAGGTAGTGAGGTCTGTTGGAAGTAGGAAAAATGGGTTTATATATCTGTGGAATGACCAGGGTGAGACAAAGGACTTTTGTTTGCTGGGGCTAGCTGTGAATGTTTCAGCTGATCACCTTGATTTGCATTCAATGGCTTGGAAGCGCCTGGGGGGAATCTTTTGTTGAGAGTGATTTCATGTGCCTGTTTGTTTCCCATATAGGTTCAAAACTCGTTTAGGATGTAGGGGGCACTGGTGGTTCGATTCTAACATTACTTCAGAATTTCACCCCCAAAAATTCAAAACTTTTCGAAACTTCTGAGACTTCTGAAATGGGTTGTTGTAGGTTTTTTCCGGGCTATATGGCCATGTTCTAGAGGCATTCTCTCCTGACGTTTCGCCTGCACCTATGGCAAGCATCCTCAGAGACCATGGCCATATAGCTCAAAAAAACCTACAACAACCCATTATTATTATTACTACTACTACTATTATCATTATCCTCATTTTTACTGCAGCTAGTGGTTAACCTATTGTGCTAAAGTCCATCCCTATTATTATTATTATTATTATTATTATTATTATTATTATTGTTATTACTATCATAATCGATCCTTATTATTATTATTATTGTTATTATTATTATTATTATTATTATTATTATTGTATTGTCGAAGGCTTTCATGGCCGGAATCACTGGGTTGTTGTAGGTTTTTTCGGCTATATGGCCATGGTCTAGAGGCATTCTCTCCTGACGTTTCGCCTGCATCTGTGGCAAGCATCCTCAGAGGTAGTGAGGTCTGTTGGAACTAGGAAAAAGGGTTTATATATCTGTGGAATGACCAGGGTGAGACAAAGGACTCTTGTCTGCTGGAGCTAGGTGTGAATGTTTCAACTGATCACCTTGATTAGCATATAATGGCCTGAGTGCCTGGAGCAAACTTTTGTTGAGAGGTGATTAGATGTCCTTGTTCGTTTCCTCTCTGCTGGAGCTAGGTATGAATGTTTCAACTGACCACCTTAATTAGCATTTGATGGCCTGGCAGTGCCTGGGGCAATCTTTTGTTGAGAGGTGATTGGTCCCTGATTGTTTCCTCTCTGTTGTTTTGCTGTTGTAATTTTTAATACTGGTAGCCAGATTTTGTTCATTTTCATGGTTTCCTTCTTTCTGTTGAAATTGTCCACATGCTTGTGGATTTCAATGGCTTCTCTGTGTAGCCTGACATGGTGGTTGTGAGAGTGGTCCAGCATTTCTGTGTTCTCAAATAATAAAATGCTGTGTCCAGGCTGGTTCATCAGGTGCTCTGCTATGGCTGACTTCTCTGGTTGAAGTAGTCTGCAGTGCTTTTCACACTTAATCACCTCTCAACAAAAGATTGCCCCAGGCACTGCCAGGCCATCAAATGCTAATCAAGGTGGTCAGTTGAAACATTCACACCTAGCTCCAGCAGGCAAGAGTCCTTTGTCCCACCCTGGTCATTCCACAGATATATAAACCCATTTTCCTAGTTCCAACAGACCTCACTACCTCTGAGGATGCTTGCCATAGATGCAGGCGAAAATGTCAGGAGAAAATGCCTCTAGACCATGGCCATGGGGTGTCTGAGGGGTCACCAAAGACCATCAGAAACCACAATATTTCTGTTGATCATGGGGGTTCTGTGTGGCAAGTTTGGCCCAATTCTATCATTGATGGGGTTCAGAATGCTCTTTGATTGTAGGTGAACTATAAATCCCAGCAACTACAACTCCCAAATGTCAAGGTCTATTTTCCCCAAACTCAATCAGTGTTCACATTTGGGCATATTGAGTATCCATGCCAAGTTTGATCCAGATCAATCATTGTTTGAGTCCACAGTGCTAACTGGATGCAGATGAACTACAACTCCAAAACTCAAGGTCAATGCCTACCAAACACTTCCAGTATTTTCTCTTGGTCATGGGAGTTCTGTGCGCCAAGTTTCGTTCAGTTCCATCATTGGTGGGGTTCAGAATGCTCATTGATTGTAGGTGAACTATAAATCCCAGGAACTACAACTCCCAAATGACAAAATCAATTATCCCTCCAACCCCACCAGTATTGAAATTTGGCATATTGGGTAAGGTAAAGTAAAAGTTTTCCCCTGACATTAAGTCCAGTCGTATCCAAGTCTGGGGGTTGGTGCTCAATTTCTAGGCCAAAGAGCTGGTGTTGTCCATAGACACCTCCAAGGCTGACATGACTGCATGGAGCTCCGTTATTGGGCATTTGTGCCAAATTTGGTCCAGTGAATGAAAATACATCCTACATTATGATTCATAACAGTAACACAATTACCGTTAGGAAGTAGCAATGATAATAATTTTATGGTTGGGGGTCACCACAAAATGAGGCACTATATTAAGGGGTTGCAGAATTAGGAAGGTTGAGAAACACTGCTCTAGACCATGGCCATATAGCCCAAAAAACCCTACAACAACCCAATAGAAAGTGTTGATCTTATTTATTTTGCACTAGCCATCCCCTGCCATGCGTTGCTGTGGCCCTGTCTGTGTAGATGTGTTTTGTGTGAGTGTATATATGTATATATTTGTTTATATTCCTCTGAAGTTCAACAGCAAACTGAAGGGACCTTTTGTCTAGATGTGCCTACATATATATGTGTGTGTGTGTGTGGTTTTGTGCATGTGCTGTAGCGTCTTTTTGGTTTTTTGGCTTTTAAGTCCCTTCTGCTGTGTGTGTGTGTGTGTGTGTGTGTGTTTAGTGTTTTTATGAGAGATTGTCACTTGTTGGCCTGATATGTGTCTTGTGTCCAAATTTGGCATCAATTCGTCCAGTGATTTTTGAGTTATGTCAATCCCACAATCCAACATTACATTTTTATTTATATAGACTAGCCATCCCTTCCCAGGCGTTGCTGTGGCCCAATCTGGTGATCTGGAAAATAATGAGAAAGTGTTGGTTTCTAAGATATGTAATGTCTGCTTCTTTTTGCAGGATGTTTGTCGCCTGGATTGGGCTCCTGAGCCTGGCTCTGCTGGCTGGAGCTGGGCAGGGCCAGAGCTGCCTGCCGTGGGCAACGGGATATGGTAAGGATTGGAGGAAAGCAGGGAAATGCATGGGAGATATTTCCATAGATTTTTTCATCCCAAAATCCAGGGACACAGTATGATGATGATGATCACCATCATCATCTTTATTTATACCCCTCCATCATCTCCCCAAGGGAACTCGGGGCAGCTAACATGAGGCCAAGCCCAAGAATTACAATCAAGCAAAATAAAATGCAAACAAACAAGTAATAACATCAAAGTCACATGCATACAATAGCAAAATCTATATAAATAAAAATGCAATGTTCGTTTGTGGGATTAACATAACTCAAAAACCACTGGACGAATTGACACCAAATTTGGACACAACACATCTATCAGGCCAATGAATGACCCTCACTCATAAAAACACTGAAAAACACAACATGTTGCATCCCAGTTCAAGAAACAAGACCATAAGATTAAATCCACCACTCTGGACTGTAGGAAAAGCAATCCTTGTTTATTGATGAAAAATTGGTTACAAAAGAAAGGTAAATGCAGAGTAAAAAAGCCACAGAAAAACACAGTAGTCAATAGGATCTCTGAACTTGAGCAAAACTTCAAAAGCCACAAAACAATAACCAGGAGTCTGTTAGCCTTTTACTAACCATGAACTTGGAAACTAGAAGCCTCTGGGATTACTGGCCATGGAACACAGGAATTCTGCCAAGGCCAGCCACAGTCCCGAACGTTGCTTGACCTAAAGAAGCACCCAGCAGGAACCCTCTTAAACCAAAGAAGCTATTCTTAGAAATGCCCCTTGACTTTTCTGTCTGGGCCTCTTTCTGCTGTAAGCGCTGTGACCTTCGTACAGACTGGGAAACATATCTATCTCTGACTATCTGTTCTCTTCGGTCCTCATTATCAACCCCAGGTGGAGAGATATCACGGCTAACTTCCAAAACATTCTCTTCTAGCTGTTGGGTTTCGTTTTCATTCCCACTGACCTCTGCATCAACAACAGATTCCACACTGTCAGAGTCAGGGAGAGCTTGCTCAGTTGGAAAAACTATCAGAGAATCCTGTTCACACAGATCAGGATCAGGCTGAACCCCAACACAACAGAAGGGACTTAAAAGGCCAAAAAAAGCAAAAAGACACTACAGCGCATGTGCAAAAAAACAACTCCCCTGGCAAACAAAACACACAATAGCATATCCACTCAGAGAGAGGGAGTGAACTATCATTGCTAGGCCCAGCAGGAATATTCTCATGAGAAACTGCCCTTTGCAATGGGGTCTCTCTCTCATTGTCTGCCTGAAAATCATTGACCAAATTATCTCCATCTTGTACCTCAGCCTCGGCACCATCATTTCCCTCATCATTTCCCACATCGGGATCCTGAAACACAAACACAGGCTGATTCCCAAGAGAAAGTTGGAGGAGGAAAAAGAATTGGGATATTCTAAAATCAGCTGAAAAAAGTAACTATCTATCTATCTATCTGTCTGTCTGTCTGTCTGTCTATCTATCTATCTATCTATCTATCTATCTATCTAAATTCAGAGATGTGTGTGTGTATAGATGATAGATAGATAGATAGATGATAGATAGATAGATAGATAGATAGATGATAGATAGATAGATAGATAGATAGATAGATAGATAGATAGATAGATAGATAGATAGATAGATATCCTTCTCGTCAGATAACCCTGACAGATTCCATAAGATAGAGTCATGGTAGTAAAAGTGGGGTCAAACTGCATTGATTCTACAGTGTAGACATGCAGCACATTCCTGCACAGGGACAACAACTGAAACACCGGACATAAAATTGTAATTTAGGATGGCGTTTGCAATCAGTCTCAGAGGGGAAAACGAGCAACATTGCCAGTTATTTCTCCCTACCCCGTCTTGGGTGCATCTACTCTTTAGAATGGATGTGGTTTGACACCACTACAACTGCCATGGCTTGATGTTATGGGGTCATAGGAGTTGTAGTTTGGTGAGGACCCCATACTATTTGGCAGAGAAGAATCAAGACCTTGCAATGCCACAACTCCCAGAATCCCAATGCATTAAGTTTTGCAAGTTAAAGTGGAATCAAACTGCATTAATTGAACAGTATGGGTGTCCACCTTATGTCTCTTCAGGCACTAACGTGGCCAAAGGCCACCCAGCCTTCCAGTCCTCTACCTACGAATATGTGCAAAGCCTGGTGGCATGGAAAGCAGTGGATGGGAACTGTGATGGGAACCTGGATCACGTCGGCTCCTGCACTCACACCAAATACGACTATGAACCCTGGTGGTACGTGGATTTGGGGAGCCACCACTCCATCTCCACCGTCGTTGTGAAGAACCGGGGGAACTGCTGCGGCGAGAGACTCCGGGGAGCCCAGATCCGCGTGGGAGATTTCCCGGCAGAACACAGCAAACACAACCCCCTGTAAGACTCAGGTTGGGTTCTTTATGGTGTCTTACGCATGCAGAAGCTTCATCAGATCTATCAACTGTCTGTCTGTCTGTGGCTAGGGTTATCTAAACCCTTGTTGCCCTTTGAAGAGGCAGGACATTTTGGTCTACTGTTGACTAGCTGTTATGTTTCAATATGGAAAGCAGCACTGGGCATTGATGTGCCTCCAAGCACCCAATGATCAACAAATGCTCATGCCTATTTGGTGGTGCATTTGATTGCGCTTCCCAACCTTCATTTAGTTGTGCAACATTGCCATGCATGGGTTGTTGTAGGTTTTTCCAGGCTATATGGCCATGTTCTGGAGGCAATTTTTCTCCTGACGTTTCGCCTGCATCTATGGCAAGCTTGTAGTTGGGGACAAATACTAGGTACTCTACTACAAACTATAAATCACAGCAACTACAACTCCCAAATGTCAATGCCTATTTTCCTAAAACTACACCAGTGTTCAAATGTGGCTATATTGACTATTTGTGCCAAGTTTGGTCCAAATCCATAGTTGTTTGGGTTCATAGTGTTCTCCAGATGTAGGTGAACTACATCTCCTCTAAATCACTGTCAATTCCTTCTAAACCCTTCCAATATTTTCTGTTGGTCATGGGAGTTCTGTGTGCCAAGTTTGGCTCGATTTAATCATTGATGGTGTTCAAAATGCTCTTTGATTGTAGGTGAACTTTAAATCCAAGCAACTACAACTCCCAAATGACAAAATTAACCCCCCTCCCTGATATCGAGCCACTTTTAGGAGGGTCTCCCCAGCCGAGGAGATCCCAAGGACCGCACCAAAGAGGATCCCTGGACCTTGGTGAGGGAGGCGAAACCAATTCCAGCCATAGAAAATGTTAAAATTAATAAATCCCCACCAAAGCGGAAGAAAATGGTGACCGAGGTTCTTTATTAGCGATTCAGCTGAGATCGGATGCAAGTGGGAATAATTCCGCCACAAGCATACAGGAGCACAGTGATACAGGCATATTTATACAATTTTTGAAAACCGAGTTCAAACTCCCCGCCCCGGCTTCCCTGTTATTCCCTGCTGTGATTGGGTGATGGGTGGACACCTGGGAGGCAGCCCTCCCGCCCCCGGCGCCTCTGGACCAATCAGGAAGCTCCCGTGGTCCGTAGGATCCAATGGGGAGACCTCTGCCACCTGATGGCGAAGGCCAATCAGGTGAGATGGAGGCAGGATGAGGGAGCACAAAGGAATCTGGGAAAGGAATCTTTAAACAAAGGAATTCCATGTGCTCTGAGACAAAGGAGCACATTTTTCTAGGGCAAAAGTCAGGGGGCAAGGCAGGAGGGATTTCATACATGTTCAAACAATATATATTTCATACAGAGAAGATCCCGTCCCCATCCCAGATACTTAATAATAAAAATCATTTCTTTATTTGAAAACCTGGAGTCTAAAGTTTTAAAAGGTCTTTGAGGAAAGTTCATGAGGGAGATAGTATGTCCAAGACATGCAGGCAGAGAGTAAGGCTGGCAGATGAAACCCCAGCTGTGCTGCAACTGATTCACACTTTGGTCCTTGGGAAACTACAACTTCCACGAAGGGCAGAAGTCCCAAGATCCAGCCATTTCCCAAAAGCCTCATGGGGTCCTTGTTGTTGTCAGTGCCTTGGCAATGTGACCAAGACTTGATCCTTGTTGTGTAGTCTGGTGCCCTTGCCCTTTGCAGATCTAGAAGTCACTATCCCTTATTTTGGGAGAAGGGGTGCTCGACATCACCCCCCCCCCCCCCCCCCCCCCCCCCCCCCGCACGCGCAACTCCACCAGTGTTAAAATTTGGGTATATTGAGTATTGGTACTAAGTTTAACTTTTATTCTGCCTTGGTCAGACCACCTCTGGAATACTGTGTCCAGTTCTGGGCATTACAATTGAAGGGAGATGTTGATATACTGGAATGTGAGCATAGGAGGGTGACTAAAATGATCAAGGGTCTGGAGTTTAATTACTAGGATTCTATGATCAGTGTAACCATCAAATGAATGACCTCAAATATATTCCCTTCCCATGCATGGACTGAAGAGGAGGGCTGAGTGGGGTTGAGATATATTAAGTCTACATTGACGGGAGTTCCGTGGGCTTTATTTTGGAGGAAAGAAGTGGCCGGACTGTCTTTGGGTATTCCTTGCTTTAGGAAACCTTAAGAAGTTCATAGAGTCAGCGTTAAGTCAAAAGGCAACTTGAAAGCACAAAGTCATGCAAGATCCAACCTTGGTCCCTTTCCCCACCAATCCCCACTTGGGTCTGACCCACTCTTTCTCTTTCTGCAGCTGTGGGACCATCCAAGACACCCGCATGGGGTCTATCAACACCGTCCATTGCCATGGGCTCAAGGGCCGCTTTGTGAGCGTCAACATCCCCGGTCGGAATGAGTTCCTGACGCTGTGCGAAGTGGAGGTCTATGGGGTGAAAGCCAAGGGTCCGTGCTGCTGGCCACATGCTTGGCAATACGGGGGTGCAAAGCAGAAATGAATGAGACCTCAAAAATAAACATATTTTTCTGAAGCAAGAGGCTATTGTCTCTCGGTTTATTTGCAGGCTTCCCGGAAGCAAAGAAGGATTTTATGCCACAGGCCAGATCCAGAAAAGAAGAATGATTATAATTATAATTATTATTCATTACATGCACATAACAACACAGCACACATGCACATGAGGTCCAAGTGTTTGGGCCTTGTCTCCAAATATTGGGCTCTTCCCAAGGACCTAGGACAGTGTTTCTCAACCTGGAGGTCAGGACCCCTGGGAGGGTCACGAGGAGGTGCCAGAGGCGTCACCAAAGACCATCAGAAAATACAGTATTTTCTGTTGGTCATGGGAGTTCTGTGTGGGAAGTTTGGCCCAATTCTCTCGTTGGTGGGGTTCAGAATGCCCTTTGATTTTAGGTGAATCCCAGCAACTACAACTCCCAAATGACAAAATCAACTTCTCCCAACCCCACCAGTATTCAAATTGTACATACAATATTGGGTATTTGCACCAAATTTGGTCCAGATCCATCGTCGTTTGGATTCACAGTGTTCTCTGCATGTAGGTGAACTACATCTTCCCTAAAGCACTGTCAATTCCTCCCAAACCCCTTCAGTATTTATATCCAAAGAGAGCACTGTGAACCCAAACAAGGATGGATCTGGACCAAGGTTGATTTTGTCACTTGGGAGCAGAGGCGGCCCTAGGTAATTTTCAACGGTAAGCAAACAGTATTTTGGCGCCCCCCCCCCAACCAATCATTGATATATATTTTCTGTTGTCGCGGGAGTTCTGTGTGCCATATTTGGTTCAATTCCATCATTGGTGGAGTTCAGAATGCTCTTTGATTGTAGGTGAACTATACATCCCAGTAACTACACTTGCCGCACTTGCTCCTTGCCTGGCCCGCTTTGGGTCCGGAGGCGTGCCTGAAGACCCGGTGTGTGCACCAAAAGTCACCTCTTCTCCTGACTTTCTCCTCAGCCATTGGGACCAGAGAGAGAGAGGTGGAGATGCCCACCTTTCCTGAAGGTAGGCGCAAAAACAAAGGAGGGAGCGGAGGTGGGAGATACCTCCAGCCGGAGGGGCTCTCTTTCTCTCTCTCTCTCTCTTGGTCCCAATGGCTGAAGAGAAAGTCAGGAGAAGAGGCGACTTTTGGTGCGCACGCTGGGGTCTTCAGACACACCTCCGGACCCAAAGCGGGCCAGGCGCGGCGGCTCCGCCCCTTGGCCCACCCGCGGATTGGGGAGAGGAGAGGAGGCGGGTGGAGCGCCGGGGATCGGGAAAGGGAGCCGGTCATGGGGAAGGGATCGAACGCAGAGAACGATTGAGCGCCGGCTCTGCTCGCGCGGCCGGGTGGAGCAGGAACGAGAGGGGCTAGGCGAGGCTCAAGGGCCCGGCCCCTTTGGGAAGAGGATCGCCCGGCAGCGAGGCAAGAAAGCCGAGGCTCCCCCCGGACTGCTAGGGCTGTTGTGAGCTGAGGGGCGCTCCTCAAGTGGCGGTCGAGGGGCATTTACAGAGGCGCCTCTGCGCCCCTGGCAAAAAAAAGCGTTCTGCGACTGCTTACTTCACGTAATGGATGAGCCGCCCCTGCTTGGGAGTTGTAGTTGCTCAGAGTTATAGTTAACCTACAATCAAAAGGCACTCTGAACCCAGCCCACAATGGATCTGTACCAAACTTGGCACACTACATACATGGCCAGCATTGAATATGGTGGTGTGGAGTGGCGAGCTGTTTTTGAATTCTGGGAGTTGTAGTTCACCACACTCAGCACTCTGTACCAAACCAGTGATGGAACTAGTAAATGTGCCACACACACCCAACATGCCAAACTTTGAATACTGGTGGGGTTTCAAGGGGACTTAATATCGAGCAGGAATTTGGAGGGCCTCGCCTTGAAGACAGAGGCCGGCCAGATCCACAAAAGAGGATCTTTTTAACCTGGTGAGAAAGAAGCACACAAAAAGAATTTTCCCCAGAATTTTCCCAAATAAATCTCACCAAAGTTGAAGAAAATGCCACTGAGTTATTTTATTTCATTCCAGCTGGAGCGGATGTCAAACTGCAATCATTTGCCAAAGCCAACATGTTTTGCGAAGGGAAATGTTACAGTTTTTATAGAAAAATACAAATTGTAGGATTCAAATTTCCCATTCCCGCCCCCCCTTGCCGACTCTGCACTGATTGGATGGAGTCATCAGCTGGCTGGGCGGTGCAGCACTTTAGACAATCAGAGAGCCAGCGCCGCTCCAGCCTCTCAGCCAATAAGAAGGAAGGAGGTGGTCCAGGCGGGAAAACAATGAACCGGGAGAAAAGATGAGTGGATGAAATGGTTGATATTTGTATAAGCGCGGGCAATAGCTTTTTCTAAACCTTTGAACCAGCTTATCTATTGTTTACGGTTCCTGGAAACTGATTAGGAAGTCAGTCCCTTTGTTGTCGTTGGGTCCGGGATATGAAGTCTTTTGATGATATCTTGAGTCAGTATTGGCCAGGGGATTTGTTGTAGTTCATCAGCACTCAGCACTCTGTACCAAATCAGTGATGGAACTAGTAAATGTGCCCCACACACCCAACATGCCAAACTTTGAATACTGGCGGGGTTTAAAGGGGACTGAACTCCAAGGTTGGGAGTTACAGTTCACCCACATCAAAAGAGCAATGTGCACCTAACTGATGCATCTGGACCAAATTTAGAACAAATACCCAATATGACCTTTCAATATGCAAGATGCATTGCTAGAAATGGGCCTCCCAGGACATTGCCCCAGGTATCCCAAAATGAGACCCATTGCTTTCTGGGCCTTTTAAATTCCTCTGGACTCCACTTTCACTGACAAAGCCACTTCTGCGACGTTGTGCTGCAATTCCAATCCTTGGTCCTCCTCTTGGCTTACATAGTCTGCCAAAGTCAAGCAGGTTTATTGAGCTTTATCTTACGTTATTTACTTTTAGCAAACAGTGAAAAGAAACACCTGAAAACCAAATTGTGCCTGCTTATCTACAATGATTGTTTCTATTGCTTCCTCCTTGCCCCTTCTTTTCCTTTTGTATGCTTGCCAACCCCTTTCTTGGCTTATTTGCATATTTGGATGCTTCGGTTTCACATGGTCCCCCTCCAGTTCTCTCATTCAAAATAAAGAAAACCAGCGTCTACGCTCAGCGCCCTTGCCCAGGGAGCATTAGGACCAATGCCTGCCTACTTTCTCCCCTCTCCAGCTCTGAGAGGACCAACCCCACAATGTTTCCATGGCAACATGACTTCCCCCTTTCATAACACGTTGCCTTTCTTTCCCACGGACACAACAAAAGACCACTTCACCTATGAGGGGCGTTCATGAAAGATTTCCCCTCACCCACTTCCTGTGGACAGAGAGCAATGCAACTTGGCCCAGTTCTGAGTCATCTCCATCCATGCCACCTAGGGATACACATTTATTTATTTATTTATTTATTTAAAACATGTATATTCCACCCTTCTCACCCCGAAGGGGACTCAGGGCGGAGCACAACATATGTGCTGGTACGTCTGTACTAGGCGCTCCAACTTTATTTTCTTTCTATTAAGTCTTTGCATGCAAGGATTCTGCAAAAAGGTGGCTTCCTTGGTTTGCAATCATAGGGTAAGCCACTTGTCTATTATTGTTAAGTTTGGATCTGCCCCTTCTCCCAGGGAGATGGGAAGGGAAGAGGGAGCCATTTTTAGTTAGTCTTAGTGAGGAAAGCTAAGTTAGAGGACGTGGACAAGCTTCACCTGCCCAAAAGCTTCATTTCTTAAGACCATCCAGGGAAACTGCAGTCCAGGAAATTCCAGGAACATTCCAGGCAGAGAGCTCTGGCAGAGAGCTCACAGCCTCTCAGCCTTACAGCATCTGAGGGAAACAGCCCTAAAGTCTCTAAGAAATTCCGGAGGGAAAACAGCTTTACAGACCCAGAGAACGCCAGCTGGAGAATCTGCAAGCCTTTACTGGTAGGTCTACTCAGTGCTCAAGATGCAGCTTGAATCCGGTAGTAGACCCCACATCAGTAGGGATTAGATTACAGTGAGCCTGGGAGACGTTAGAAAAGGGTTTTCTTCTAAAGTAAAGGTTACAGTTAATGAAAACAGTTGCCTCTGTTCCTCGTGGACAAGATTAAGGAAGCCACCAGTTAATTCAAAGCCTTGAAGCATTTGTTTGACCCACTGAAGATTTGAGAAATATCTGTTGGATTTGTTCAATAATAAAGGATTTTGTTACATCATTAAAGACTCTAAAGACTATCTCTACAGGACAATCCTTAAAGGCCTCTTTCTTGGCGCCCCTGGCTTCCCGCTGGGCACAAGGTGCACGTCCTGTATCAAAAGACAATTATTACAGGCCCAGCGCGTGACAGAACAGCATATATACGACAAACGTTCAATGCTGGGACAAGAATTCATTATATGCATGCATAAACATTAAAAACATTTATCTCAATATTAAAATGCATTGCTTAAACTTCTCCCATCCTTCTAAGCAGCTGGCTTGTCAACACCTGGCTTGTAGAAGTCTACAGGTTGCTCCAATAGCCACCTTGTGACTATTGTCACAAGGTGGACAATAGAGTCCCATCACCTGAGAAATGCTCGCCCTTCAAAATTAACTTCCTGGTTGGAAAGAGGTGGAAGTCCAATGGTGTTGGGTTGGGTGAATGAGGAGGATGTGGTAGAATTCCAAAGCCACCAGAGCATGCTTCTTCCATTTAAGCAACAGGTGAGTTGTGAATGGGTGCATTGTCTTGCAGAAGGCAAAGGACACCTTTGGGGAGCATGCCACATTGTCTCTTGGTTTGGATGGCCTCCCGCAATTTCCACAGTAGTGAAGCATCGTCTGTCTCAGTGATCCTGGTCCCCTTTGCTAGGAAATCCATCCATCCTACTCGGTGCTGGTCCCAAAATACTGTGAGCATGAGCTTGCCTACTGAAAGTTGGGCACAGGCCTTCTTTGGAGGTGGTGAGTCAGGAATGAAGTGGCAAGGAGAAGATTTGAGGAAAAGAGACAAAGAGAGTTCCTGAGGTCTGAAAAAGTACGGTTTATTCTCTGTTGGCACCAACCGGATATGGACCCTGCTGGGAGGCCAGAGAAAACAGGGTACAGAACAAAGAAAAGGCTTGGTTTATATACCCTTTAAAATAATATGCATGCATCATACAGGCATCACAATGTGTGTCACAAAATTCTACTTTTACATTGACTTCAATGGTATATTTTAACCTCAACACCTGTCAATCTTCATTTTGAGCATCCATATCTGAGGAGGTGCTATTAATGAGGACCATCGCCAGAATGTCTACGAGACCCGATAGCAAGAGCTTCCATCCATCTTGAGATAAGTTCTTCCTGAAGCCTCTTGATGGCCAGCTCATTAATCTTATGATTAGCTTCGTCTGGTACCAAAATGGAAGGAGTCTCCTGAGATATGCCAGAGGCCTCTAGACATTCCTTTCTTTAGACCCTGGCTACTCTTGAGGCATCTAATTTTGCAGCTTTTAAGAAGCCAAGTGAAGTGAAGTTCATGCATACATACATTTCTCTTTGTGATTTCATATATTTTCTAACTCCTTTTTCTAATATGGTTACATCCAATATATATTTTCCAATATGTATATTATGTATTTTCATCATGCCTTCATCAAGGATGCTTCCATTGCATCGACTGGACTTGAGTCTCAGGATCTGAGTGATGGACTCTGAGGATGCTTGCCATAGATGCAGGCGAAATGTCAAGAGAGAATGCCTCTAGAACATGGCCATACGCCTGAAAAAACCTACAACAACCCAATCTGAAGTTATTTTCGTGAGCTTGCCAACCCTTCTTGGGTGTTTCAAGCACAGAAAAACAGGGAAATGTTGAACTTTGACAACTGATGCTTGGGTGTGTTTTTCTGGAGAAATTGTGTTCAGTGACAATCAAGGAGAGAACAGGTGGCTCTCAGAAGGAGAAGAGGAATATTCCCTGGAAGGGAGGGATTCAGGTGTGTAAACAGCTAATACTCAAATACATTGTATATAAATTTGCATAACCTAGCTGTAATCCTTTTTATCCTTGAAGGTGGGGTCCAGAGGTCTTTAAAAAGTGTCTCTCAGAAAGCAACAGGCATCATCTTGAGCTTCCTCTGAGCCTCTGGTTTTGAGCAACACATCTTCCATTTTGGTCCGGTAAGTATTCCTTCTTTCTCATTTGCTGCTGGATCTTTCTATCGTTCCATCCTGCTTTCTCTGGAAGGTCTTTTCTACTGTAAAGTGGCATGACTACATTGAATGAACTCTGTGTTTGTATTTTCAACATCAGAGGGATGGATGTATAATTCAGATTTTAGTCCAGTTGTGTTCAACTCTGGGGGTTGATGCTCATCTCCATTTCCAAGCCGAAGAGCCAGCGTTGTCCATAGGCACTCCAAGGTCATGTGGCTGGCATGGCTCCATGGAGTGCTGTTACCTTCCTGCAGGAGTGGTACCTATTGATTTGATGGAAAAACAGATATTTATTTATGCATATATTGTATGTAATTTACAAGAATGGAAATGTATAGAAAAATCAGGTTCTCTCTGTGTAAGAAAGCCAGCAGGACAGAAGGAATGTTGAAAGGGGGAGAAGAGGGGGACATGTTATCTATACATTCCAGATACAGAGACTGGTACAAAATAGCTATAACTAAGTAAGGAACATATCCCCCTCCCTCCTGACAAGTCAAAGTAGGCCCCTTGATTGATGAATGTAAGCTGTAAGATGTATGCTGCTCTTTAGAAAGAAATACAGAGACATGCCTTTTGTATTTTGGAAGATAGAATTTGATATTCCTATGATGCTAAAGTGACGCAGAGAATGATGTCAATGTATGTAGAAGCATGTTTCTTTGTTTGCCTGCATTTGAAGTGTATAAAAGGCAGTCAACGCCTTTATCGGGCACTCTGGTTGCTTTTGGACACAGCTCCACTCCAGGGTCCCAGCTGGAAATAAAAGCCGTACTTTTCTATTTAGGGAAAGGATCTCTCTTGATATAATCTCTCCTATAATGCTGCAACATTTCTACTTACATTTGCATGTTTTTGAACTGATAGGTTGGCAGATGCTGGGGCTAACAGGGGGAACTCACCCCGCTCCCCGGATTTGATCCTGCAACCTTTCAGTCAACAAGTTCAGCAGCTCAGCGGTTTAACCCACTGCATCACTGGGGGCTCCTAATTTGGACTTTAGGTGGTAGATTAAGTGGTCATTAAGGAAGATGTCATTCTTCTGTATTTGTAGTTGTACTGATTTATTTAACTCTGTTTTTCCTCCCCTAGTTGAAAGACAAGAAGTCCTGTTTGCCAGTTCACCAAGAAGGGCCACCAACATCTCTTGTCTCAAGGTGAGTTTCATCCTATTGGTCATCTATTGGGAGGGCTCGGATTGTGTCTTCCTCATGGCAGGCTAGATGGCCTTTGTGATCCCTTCCAACTCTATGATTCTGTAATCTCAAAATCCAAAACACCCACCTCTCTTTAGAAGGCCTCAAGAGCCCAGGAAGTGCGAGGAGCACCTCCAGGGAAGGTGTATTTGATGACTTAGGGAAATGCATCCATCTGGAGAAAAGTTTAGTGGCTGTTTAGGACATTTGCAACGATAGTCTGAAATATGCCTCCCTGAATCTCACAACCACTGGTCCCTATGCTGTTTCCTTTGCCTTCAAGCCATTTCTGACCCTCATGTGGCCCTCAAGTGAATCTGTCTCTGGGTTTTCATGGTGAAACTTTAAAGATGTTTGCCAGCATGGTCTTCCTCTGAGGAGGTTGAGAGAGAGAGACATTTGCCCAGGATTAGCCATTTGGGTTTTCTGGCTGATTAACCATTCGAACCCTTTAGTCTCCAGAGCCAACCGTAGTCCAACTCTCCTTTGATTCTTGTTATGTCCACTTCCTAAACTTCCTAAACTTTTCAATGCAACCCACTCTGTTCAGATTTCATGATGAATATTTGCATTATCTGGGGATCCTTTAAGGGGTTAAGGGGGAACACTAGAGCCCTCCGATTTCCAACTCTGCTTCCCTTTCCTTTGGCAGAATGATCCAGATCTGGATGGCCTTGCTGGCCACTGTGATGATCCTGGTTGGACACGGAGAGGCTCAGAGCTGCAAGCCGGAGCTGCGAGGCCGTTGTAAGAACAGCAAGGGGAGGTCTTTCTCAAAAGGGCTTGGTGATCTCCAGACCACTGGCCCTCTTGGTCACCGCTGTCTGGACACCGTCCTTGAAGTGTGGTGCCCAAACTGGCCACTGACTCTTGGCTACCGTGTCACCATTTTCCCAGAGATTTAGTCCATTTCCCTTTTTCCCTGGATGTCTGAGCTGATCCTCTGCAGGTTGGAAATGTCCGGTATTCCAGATATTACCATTCTGCAGCTCCAAGCATTCCTCCACTGGCTCTGTGGGTAAGGCTGCTGGGAGCTGAAATTCAGGGACATTGGGGTTGGGGGTGGGATGTTACACAATGCCTATCCCAATGATATCCCATTGCATCATTGTGTTCTGTTAAGTGTTTAGCATAGTAGTAACTTACCACTTCAAAAATGATTGCCTGTTTTTGACCCAGTGTACCCATGCTTCCAAATCCCCATTTCCCCCTTAGAATAATAGTTCATATGTGTGTATGTCTCTTGGTTCCAAAATGATGAGAAGTGCATTGTCTCCATTAGGCTTGGGTAGGTTTGTTCGTTAGTTTCTAAAATCGTAATTAATTCAGATCAAATTACCTTTTGATCCAATTTCGAGCCATGTAGGAATAGTGGGAGGAGCAATTCCGAACTGAAACAACTTCCCCATTGTTCGGAATTATTTTTGGATGTGGCTTTGCATGGCCGGAGATGCAAAGAGAGACAAGGTGGGCGTGGCTAAGAACAGTTCTTCCTGAAGGCCACGCCCCCAGTGGCATAGCCACGCCCACCTCGTCCCTCTGCAACCCATCACCGTACATTGCCACCCAAGGAAGGGAAACTGCGAGATTAGTTTTAAAATCTCGCAGTTTCCCTTACCTGGGTGGCGGCGAATGTGATGGATTGCAGAGGGATGAGGTGGGCATGGCTATGCACAGCTCTCCTTGAAGGCCTCGCCCCCAGCGACCTCCAAGGAGAGCTGTGCTTAGCCATGCCCAACTCATCCCTCTGCATGACAGCTAGCCAGGGAAGGGAAGCTGCGAGATTTTAAAACTATTTCGCAGCTTCCCTTCCCTTCCTTTGCAGCGATGCACAGAGGGACAAGGTGGGTGTGGCTAAGAATAGCTCTTCCTGAAGGCCACGCCCCCAGTGTCTTTCAAGAAGAGCAGTCAGATCTGGCCACGGTGGTCCACGTTCTTGTCACATCCCGGTTGGATTACTGTAACGCACTCTACGTGGGGTTGCCTTTGAAGACTGCTCGGAAACTTCAACTAGTCCAGCGAGAAGCAGCCAGATTGCTCACCGGAGCGGCGTGCAGGGAGCATACCACCCCCCTGTTGCGTCAGCTCCACTGGCTGCCGATCCAATTCCGAGCACAATTCAAAGTGCTGGTTTTGACCTACAAAACCCTATACGGTTCCGGCCCAGTGTATCTGTCCGAACGGATCTCCCTCTACGTCCCACCTCGAAGTTTAAGATCTTCTGGGGAGGCCCTGCTCTCGACCCCGCCAGCATAAGTGAGGTTGGCGGGGACGAGGAGCAGGGCCTTCTCGGTGGTGGCCCCCCACCTGTGGAACTCACTCCCTGGGGAAATTAGATCAGCGACTTCCCTTTTGTCATTCAGAAAAAAATTGAAGACCTGGATATGGGACCAAGCTTTTGGACATTCTGGCAGCTAAAGGAAAGACCCTGATGATGAGCAGGAAGTGATGGAACGGAATGGATATTCGGAACTCTGAACACTGAGCATGAGATTGTTTACTATTATATTATGTACTGATGATTTTAATTTGTTAATTGTTTAAATTGCTTTTATGTATGTTTGTATAATTGACATAGGCAATAAGCCGCCCTGAGTCCCCCCTCGGGAGTGAGAAGGGCGGGGTATAAGTAACTGAAATAATAAATAATAAATAAATAAATTTTAAGCAGTTTTAAAATCCTGCAGCTTCCCTTCCCTGGCAGTGATGCAGAGGGACGAGGTGGGCCTGGCTAAGCAGTGCACCTTCCATTAACGAAGCAAACGAAGCAATTTGGATTTCTGATATTTTCGATCTTTTTTTTCAATAAATTTTCAAAAATCATTTTAAAAACAAATCGCCAGCACCCCCTACATCCGAAACGAGTTTTGAACTTTATTTTTTGGATCGCCCAAGCCTAGTCTCCATCTTGTTGCCCTTCTTCCCCCAGTTCGTAACTTGGCCAGAGGCCGTCCAACCTTCCAGTCCTCTCTCTACCCACTCCATAATATTGGCTTGGCCAGCAAAGCTGTGGATGGGAATTGCAATGGGGACTGGTACAACATCAAGTCCTGCACCCACACCAACCGTGACTATGAGCCCTGGTGGTACGTGGACCTGGGAGAGGAATATGCCATTGCTACTGTGGTGGTGAAGAACCGGGGGGACTGCTGCGGAGAAAGACTCCAGGGAGCTCAGATCCGTGTGGGAAACTACGGGGGGAACAACTGCAAATCCAATTTCCAGTGAGTCCCTTCGCTTCCCTCTATGCGTTGAATATCGCTCTGGCTGAACAACCAGGCTCACTCGATGCTTTCCCCATTGCAGTTATCTTCTGCATCCATGCTGGTGTTTCTTCCTTGATTTCCTTCAGCAATGCTCCAAGGCTTTACTATTCCCTTCCATTATTCAACATACATGTGCAATAGGATTTGGCATTTCTTTCTGTGTATATTTACTGTAGAATTTTGAGCACCACTTGCTTTGGAAGGGAAATTAGTGCACTGGTACTGTGGTTACTGCAATACTTAGTGCCCCCTTTCCTTGTAATCAGAATGTGTCCTGAGCATTTTGATTATATGGGTCATTTATCTTGATGCTGAGTAGGTGGAGCCTGAGAGATGAGTAAAAAGTCAATCCTGAGGTGTTGGAAGTCATTTCACCCTGAGATGTTTATTCAAAGAGAACAACATACAGGGTTAGTCAAAATGAATAGGCCAATAAGAAAATTAATTTTAGACGAATGTATGTTTATTGTAACCAAACTACAGCTACGTAGCGACAGATAAACTATCAAAGTTTTGTCTCACCTTCAGAGATGTTCGATATGGGCGCCCCGTGTGACACGGCAGATGTCCAAGCGATAGTCCAGTTCATTCCACATCCGTTGCAGCACATCCGACGTAATGGCATCGAATGCAGCAACGTCTGGGAAGGTGTTCGTTGAGGTCCTAACCCTAACCCTAACCCTAACCCTAACCCCTAACCCTAACCCTAACCCTAACCCTAACCCTAACCCTATCCCTAACCCTAACCCTAACCCTAACCCTAACCCTAACCCTAACCCTAACCCTAACCCTAACCCTTGAAATTCTCGCTGGACCGTAATTACTGACATTGTTTTAGCAAATGTCATCACACAAAACGCCTTCTCTTTGCTTGATTCCGCCATTTTGAAAACAGCGACCCCTAGCGACGCCTAGCGGCATTAACGTACATGTGTGTTGCTCAAAATAAACTTTGATAGTTTATCTGTCGCTACGTAGCTGTGGTTTGGTTACAGTAAACATACATTCGTCTAAAATTAATTTTCTTATTGGCCTATTCATTTTGACTAACCCTGTATTAATTATATTAATTAATTATGGTGAATATCCTAGCAGTGTCTTTTGTATAAATAATAATTTTCCTCATCTCCAGGGATATGTCTATGGTTGTAATCCAGTTTTTGTGTATGTATGTGTGTCTTCACCCGTCTCTGTTTATTAATAAAGCATACGCCTGAATCAAGACACAGACGAAACTCTAAAATGTTTTGTCAATGCAAACCTCTATAAAGGGTGTGAGACCATGGTCTTTGGATGGGCATTGCCTCTGGCCAGAGGGATTTCCTACAAAACCAGTTTTAGGCTTGGTAAATGATTAAACTAATCCTCCTAGGAATGTTTGGGGCTGGGCTGGGGCTGAGCTTGGCTGAGTCCTAGCCAAACTATAAAAATATATTACAATTCTATAATTAATATTAGAAGAGGGGGTCGATTTTTCAATAACATGTTAGATTTAATCTTTAAAGCCTTCCATAGTTTGGGTCCAGGTTCCCTGCAGGATGGCCTTTTCCCACATGATCCATGGTCCCTTTGAACTCTGAGGTCTTCTGGGAAGCGGCTAATCTAAGACACACGTTAAGAGCTTTATCTCCCAGCAGGCTTACCCAGTCAATATTAACCTGCATTTTATTGGTATTTATTGATTCATTTCTCCCATGTGCTGTGAGGTTCATCTTCAAATTGTTCTTCCTCAAATGACTCTTTCATCCTTTCAGCATTTTATGTGATCCATTACTGATTTCTTCCTCCTGATTTCCCTCCTCCGTCCCCTCCCTGCAGCTGTGGGACCATCACAGACACCCGTGCAGGCTCCATCAGCACCATCAGCTGCTATGGGTTCAAGGGCCGCTACGTGAGCATCATC